TACTCGCCATTGATGTTGATACCGTACCCTTTCCAGTCCAGAAGCTTGAAAACATCTTCCAATGCAGCGGTAAAGAGTTTCGGGGATATGACGTCACCCTGTCTTACACCTCTCTGCAATTGAATAGGTTTCGTACTCTGGTTCTGTACTCGGATAGCCATCGTAGCCCTACTGTACAAGCACTTCAACACTTCGATATACCGACAGTCAACTTGGCATCGCTGAAGGGACTGCAGCACCGCCCAAATTTCGACGGAATCAAAGGCTTTCTCATAGTCCACATACGCCAGACATAGTGGCAAATTGTACTCCTCGGACTTCTGTACAATTTGCCGAAGGGTATGTATGTGATCTATGGTGCTAAAGCCTTTTCGGAAACCGGCTTGTTCGGGAGGCTGGAAGTCGTCAAGTCTGCGAGCAAGACGATTCGTAATGACTCTCGAAAACAGCACGTAGACGCGGCTCAGAAGGGAAATCGGTCTGTAGTTCTTCAAGAGAGCGTTGTCGCCTTTCTTGAAGAACAAGACCACCGCACTTCTGCTCCACGCCTCCGGTGTAATGCCACCATGGAGGACGGAATTAAAGAGCTTCTGAAGGACTTCAAGTACCGGTTTTCCACCCGCTTTCAGAAGCTCCGCTGTAATTCCATCCTCGCCTGGGGCCTTGCCGTTTTTAAGGTGCTGGAGAGCCATTCTAATCTCGCTCAGACTGACGTCCGGGATATCATCGGAATAATGTCGGATAAGACTCGCTCTAGGATCGTTACTCACACTTGCGTGCGGCTCCAACGATGACGTGTACAGCTGCCCATAGAACCTCTCAATCTCACTCAAAATCTCAGGTGTCCCGGAAACGATGCTGCCACATTCTGTCTTCAGCTTTGACAGTTGGCGCTTTCTGGCAGACAGATCTCTGGCAAAGACTTTGGAGCCTTGGTTCCGCTCGATCGCTTCTTCAATACGAGCTGTATTGAAGTTGCGTAAGTCCTCCCAGTGAACTGAACAGACAGTCCCATTTGGAGATCTGTCTGTTCAGTTGCCTGTATGCTGTTAAATCTGTTGAAGAATGTAGCTTCATCTCCCGTCTAACAGCCATGAGATTAAGAGTGTGATCGGAGAGTTTTTGTGTTCTTCTGCGGCGGGTCTTGCAGAACTTAGCTCCGACCGCATGGACAGTTTCCACGAGCTTGTCATTCAAATCGTCCACTTCATTGCAGTCTTCTAGGCACTGAAAACGGTTTTGTAACTCGAGCTGAAAGGTTTCGGGACTTTGGATTAGAGCACGAGGGGGACGGAGCGTTGACTTCATTAGACGAGACCTCTCCAACTTAACGTTTAGGTTCAGTGTGCCTCTAACCATTCGGTGATCGCTGCCGGTTTTCACCCTCGCAATCACTGAGACATCACTGAACAGTTGTCGTCTGGTCGTCATAATGAAGTCAATCTCATTTTTTGTCGAACCGTCGGGGCTCGACCAGGTCCACTTCCTGTGGGGCCGCTTCTGGAAGAAAGAGTTCATCATAAAGAGTCCCTCTTTCTCCATGAAGTCGGCCAGCTGCCGGCCCCTTAGGTTCCGTTGCCCTATTCCAAATTTCCCTACTTTCAGCTCACCGTTCTCTCTTGTGCCTAGTTTTGCATTGAAGTCTCCCATTAACACCGTATATTGGGTTTTGGAGGAATGCATGGCTCTAGAGATATCCTCATACATTTCCTCCACCTCCTGATCGGGGTGTGCCGAGGTTGGTGCGTAAACCTGTATGACCTTCAGCGAATACCGTTTGGTGATTCTGAGTATAAGGTACGCAACCCTCGTCGACACACTCTCAATCTCAATCAAACGTTATTGATAATTTGCATGAATTTGGTAAATACATTTTTATACAAAATATTTTACATGTACGCTAGGGATTGACTCAACTATATCAAAATTAATATCGATATTTATCTTGAATGTTTATAATAAATTTGGGTTCTATAATGTAATTTTATTTTGCTTTTCGTCAAACAGATTTCCTCCGGATTCTATAATTATAAAAAATGGTTAAGGTCAATTGAACGGGTTGATTGGAATCCAAAGAAGAACTCAACAATTTTCAGCAAACATTTTCTTGAAAAGTATAAAAGAAAAAGTAAAATATTTTTTTTTACTAAATGGAGTGATTTCTACATTATTTGTATCAGTAAGTATAATATTGTTATAATAAGACTTCAAAAATTTAACTTTCAAACTTTAGATGAAAATAGAGACAGATTTTTATACATTATAAAACTGCAGTACATTAAAGATAAAAAAAATCTTGAGATTATCCTCTTTAAGCCTTTATAAACCCAACTAAGTAACCATTTATCAACCAAAATAAATGTATAACTTTATTTAACCAACCGCATAGCCTCGCGGTCACACTAGTACAATTTTCATAGCATCACGCTATTTTCCCCAAGGGGTTGAGCGGAGGTTCAGATTATATTCCCAAGTCTCAATGATAAAACTTTTAGCGTAGTTAGGTATAAATATTTACCCACGCATGAGACGCGATAGAATAAATTCCACAATATTTGATAATCACGATGTTCGATGCCCGATTCATGCTTTATAACCGGCGACATTGTGCCGAGGGCTGAAGTAGCGCGGTTCATCGCCTACAGCGTTAGTCGTAGAGAAGAGGAAGTCGTGGTTAAGTAATAGCTGCGATTGGTACATTATTATATATATAAAAACAATGTACAAAAACAGACACAACATGTTATCACCATTTTTATTATAAGTATATATTTAAAGAGAGATGGCGCTGCTAACAGCAATCAGTTCTAAAAATAAAAGAGATTAATTGACGCGATTGGTACATTATTATATATATAAAACATAAAAGAACTTATAAACCAGTGTCTGCATAGTAAGCAAAACGCCTTTTTATATTACATATTGACCATACCGCCGTCTATCGATGAAATTAGTTAACTATTTCACTTTAGATTTAGTTAATAAGCTTATAATATATTTTTGTATATTATTTTATTTAATACGTTCTTTAATACTTTTTACCTAATTTAATTATGATTTATGATATAGTATTAGTTTAAAATGCACTTGATGACTCAACCAACGCCACCGTCAATCCACCGTCAACCAATCAAAAGGATACGGTATCAACATCAACGGCGAGTACATCACTTCTACCTTCAATTTGCCGACGATATCGTCCTTATGGCAGAATCGCTAGAGGACTTAAGCACTATGCTCAACGACCTTAATAGTGCCTCCCAACAGATAGGTCTTAAGATGAACATGGACAAAACAAAAATCATGTTTAATGTCCATGTCACACCTATGATGGTAGTTGTTGGGAGCACTAAGCTCGAAGTTGTTGACGAGTATGTTTACCTGGGACAAATAGTAACAACTAGGTAAGTCCAACTTTGACCGAGAGGTCAACCGACGGATCAACTCGGCTGGGCAGCGTTCGGGAAATTACGGCACATATTCTCATCAGGTATATCTCAAAACTTGAAAACGAGACTGTACAACCAGTGCGTGTTGCCAGTGATGGCATATGGAACTGAGACGTGGTCGTTCACTGCTAGCCAGATGTGGAAGCTTAAGGTCGCTCAGCGAGTTATGGAGAGAGCTATGCTCAGAGTTTCTCTACGTGATAAACTTAAAAATGGGGATACCCGCAGTAGAACCAGAGTGACTGACATAGCCCAACCGATTAGTAAGCTTAAGTGGCAATCGGCCGGCCAGAAGAACCGACAACCGAAGGGGAAAAAAAGGTTCTTGAGTGGCGGCGTACCGGCGGACGAAGTGTGGGGCGTCCCCACTAGATGAAGTAACGACCTGGTAAGACATGCAGAAAGTCGATGGATTCGGATGGCTCAGGACCGTGCTTTGTGGCATTCCTTGGGAGAAGCCTATGTTCAGCAGTGGACTTGTGAAGGGCTATAATGATGACGATGATAGTTAAGTATCTAACTATTTATATTAACAATATGTCAAAAAAGAAGCAGCAAATATTTTTCTCCAAAGATCATAGCTTGAAAATACAAATTTCCGATCTTATTCTTAGGGAGTTTTTTTTTTAATTTATCGGTACAGTCACCTGGGCTTTGATAGATTTGAATTAAAATTCAACAATAGCCAGGTAGGTTCAGCTTATTCCCAGGAACATGTTATAAGAATATTTTTTAATTATTTTAGAATTTCATGTGTAAAAATTTAGCTCATTTTTTAAGTTATTCAATTGCTTGCACTAGACAATTTTTTAAAATATTTTTACTTCTTCCTTAACAATCATTTTTCGATAAGCCTAGTAAGTAAAATATACACACTAGCTAACGCAAACAATGACAAATCAAAATTAGTCACGCGTTTTCGGGCTGTCAGGTCGTCTATACGCCAGTATATTCAAACGGGTGTATTCATAATCATTTTTAAACAGTTCATTAGTTAAAAAAGTGTTTTGTCACTTTCTAGCAACAAGTATCTCGCAAATGTCAGAATGAGACAAAACACTTTTTAACTAATGAACTGTTTAAAAATGATTATGAATACACCCGAAAGTCTATGGTGTTTGATATGTTATTTTTGGCTAAAGGCCTTGCAGCCAATGGCACAATAAATGAAAAAAGTTTCCGTTCCTATTTACTTAACAATTTTTAATTTCTAACTAAAATATTAAAAGTAGCATAAGAAAATCAATGGGACAAAATTATAAAATAAATAATTGTTGCTAAAACTATTCGTTGAAAGCAACTGTCTGAACAAACCGCTCATCTTAATATTTATTTTATCAATCAAATTTAGTTTTCGTTGAACGGAACTTTTAAGTTAAACTCCCGCGTTTTATGATTTCTGTCAAATCAAACTAAAGTGAAGCAGGTAAAAAAATCGTGAGTTGTGTGTGAGTGAAATATGAGTTTTTGTGTGAACTTACTTGTGAAAAAATAATATAAATAACTTTAAAAGTTACATGGTATAAATACACGATAGCCTAATATTAAAAAATGAAAACCTTAAAGTCTCCTGAAAATGTTGAAGTTACGCCTTCTAAAAAAAAATTAAAACAAGCTAGACTGCCTTTTAAAATTTTAAGTGATGTATTACCAGAAACAGTAAGTTCTAATACAAGGAAAAGAAAACTTTCTGTTACTGAAAGTGAGCCAATTACAAAAATAGGAAAAGTTACGACGGAAAACGATTTAGTAGCGACCAGTGGTGAATTGGTAGTGATAAGTGATGATGACAGTAAAGATACTCCACAGTTACAAAAAGAAGATGTTAAACTGAATCCTTACGTTAAATTGGTTGATAGCGCTTGGAAGAAAAAACATCAAAGAACGAAATCCTCTAAAAAGAAAAAAAGTTTGCAAAAAGAGACAGCTACATCTACTAACAGTAAAAATATAGAGGATGGTACTAAGGAAATAGATAAATCTGCTTGTATGGATGTCGATGCCTTAGTAGACGATAATAGTCCGGTTAGCAATGATAAGCCTCCAGCTACAGACAATACTGTTTTAAAAAATCCCTCAAATGATAGTTTTATATTAAATAATGAAACACACAATAACTCGGAAGATGAAACTTGTGTTAATAAAAAGTTAAATAGCTCATCAGCCTCAAATGTAACTCAAGAAAACTTACAGGAGACAGAAAACATTGATGTTGTAATGGATACAGTTTGTAATGAATATGATAAAGAAAGTGATCAAGAAAATAAAGCTGTCACACCTAAAAGAAGTAGTAGGAACAAAGTGAAGACTGATCAGAAAAATTTGGATAAATCTCAATCAAGCATTTGTGAATCTCCCGATCCTAATACTACTCCAAAACATAATACAAGGAGCTCTTCAGTCACCAACACTCAAGATGTGCCTTTAAATGATTCAGCTTCATTAACTCCAAAACAGGTAAGTTTGACCAGGCAATAAAGTTTATTCATTTGACACTGCTTCTTGACATTAATTTGGGAATTTAAAATCTGGTATAAATATAAAAAGCTTGTACTTCCATCTGTTGGAATGTACTATATTTTTTTTTATATGATAGGGTGACAAAGGAGCACACAGTCTACCTGATGGTAAGTGGTTGCTTTGGCACATAGATATCTACATCTATCCTCGTTTGCGACTCAAAATGCAGATGAGGCATGAGGACTAAGATGGAATGCCTCTTTTTCAGTAAAAAGGGTCTCCGGATCTCTACACTCACCATATGAAACAGCAGTGCTAAGCTGTTATTTTACGCTAGTATTCTGTGAGTGTGGTCCTTCCCCAGTTGAGCCGACCCATTCATGCTACAACTATACTACTTATATAGCTGCAGCATGGCTCTACCAAGTATATTATTTTGAGCCTTGTCTCCTACTATACTTACAGAATGAAATGGGGTGATGGTTAATCATTGCAAGTTACGATTTAGGTTAATTTATTACTGGCTGATTTCCACAATTCCTTGAATAAGCACACATTTTGTTTGTTGTAAGTGTATTGTAATCAAAACATACTTATTCATCAAATTTTAATTTGTTCGACGAAACAAACCTATCTCCTGGAAGAATTCTAGATAAATCCTAATATCAATTTTTTTTTTATAGGATAGGGTGACAAACGAGCACACAGTCCACTTGATGGTAAGTGGTTGCTGTGGCTAGACATCTACATCTATTCTCATTTGTGAATCAAAATGCAGATGCGTTGTCACCTGTGAGGACTAAGATGGATTGCCTCTTTTCCAGTAAAAAAAGTCCGGTTCTCTACACTCACCATACTAAAGACAGCAGTGTTAAGCCGCTATTTTACACTGGTATTCTGTGAGAGTGTGGTCCTTCCCCGGTCGAGTCGACCCATTCGTGCTACAACTATACTATTAATATAGTTGCAGCATGGCTCTACCACGTATAATGCTAGTACTACAAGTAGACTAGTGGTTAACTTAACCCTGGCACATTTCCTCACACTTCAAGGAGATGTTGGAAAGTAAGATTGATGGATTATTAACATCCAGTCTGAGTAGAATTTTTTTTTTATAAAATAGGGTGGCTAACGAGCACACAGTCCACCTGATGGTAGGCATCCACATTTATCCTCAGCTAAGAATCAAAATGCAGATGTGTTGTCACCCCATTATAAAAAGGGTCTCCAGTGTTTCTTCTGTTTTTTTGTAAAAAACGTAACCCCCACACTATGATTTTCTCCTGTGTCGTGGAGGTAGTTTACAAATATAAATTGCACAAGGACAAATATCCAGACCCGAAACAATTATTTGTAGGCCATACAAATACTTGCGGAATTAGAACCCGCAGCCCCCAGTGCAACAACTCATTGCTAAGCTACTGCGCCACGGAGCCGTCATAGTTGTAGTGATGATGATAAAGAAGAAAGTGCTCTACACTCACCAGAAGAAACAGCACCATTGAGCTGCTATTTTATCTTGGTATTCTCTGAGAGTGTGGTCCTTCCCCAGTCAAGTTGACCCATTCGTGCTACAACCATAATATAACTGCAACGTGGCTCTACCTTGTAAAATGGCTGTATTAGCTTGAATTTGGGATTAATTTAAATAAAGCAGCATTTTTATTATGTGGCTAGTGAGTGATAATAAAGTGCTTACACACAATGATGGAATATATTATGATTATTTCAACTTTTTGTGTTAGTATTTGTTGTCACTCCAACTGAAAGGAAGTGGTTATCAGTTCTGGTATAAATGTACTTTTTGCTGAGCTGATACATGTGCATAATTGTAGAATAAACAGTGACTCACTCACAGTTCATTATTCCATCATGCACACCCTGCATAGGAGTTTAGTTTAGTTTTTAGAGGATATTTGTGCCTAAGAGTAGAATGTATATAGGTAGTAACGTTTATTACAAATATGACTAAGAGGCTAATGGCCAAATACTCAAACACAGTCACTTTGACTTAAAGTGATGAGGTAGCACGGCATAATGGTATCTAAAAATTGAGCAGTGTTTGAGTATTTGGGCATGAATCTAGTACTATGTGGTGTCAGTGTAGGAAAATCTATCACCCCAATGGCTCCCATAAGTATCGTAAGAGGTGGGGATATGCTACTATTGTGAAATGCCAAACAACATGGCATCTGATATATGAAATTTAATCTAATTTTTTTTATCTTTGTTATGTTAGATGTATTTTATTCAAATTGGTGATGGGGAATAGAATCAGGTATGATTGCCAATTGGTTTAAGAGCCAAGATTACTTGGCAATCCTCCTTGTCTCAAAATTGAGACGGATCTATTCTATTAAATGGAGCATTAACCTTTTCCAGTTTTTTTTTTTAAATTTACCCCCACACTATGATTTTCTCCTGTGTCGTGGAGGCAGTTTACAAATATAAATTGCATGAGGACAAATATCCAGACCCGGAACAATTATTTGTAGGCCATACAAATACTTGCGAAATTAGAACCCGCGGCCCCTAGTGCAACAACTCATTGCTAAGCCACTGTGCCACGGAGCCGTTATAGTTGTAGTGATAATGATGATAAAGAAGAAAGTACCATATGCATCAAAATTGCAAAGTATCTAAAATAGAGCTGAAATATCATTACAAAAGTTGCCACACCTAAAATCGGGAGATGGGAATAGGAGTGTGTAACATGCAGTGGGTACTAGAATCACATCAAAAAATTGAGATTTAAAAACTGAAGGTAGCCGGGCTAACTATGACATCAGGATATCAAACACCTGAGTCCATCGGGAAATTAAAAAGTTAAATGAAACGCGTTAAAATCCGTAAAAATTAGTTTAATTTAATGTGTAGTAAAAACTGAAATCACTATTGTTACTTTAATTATAATGTGTCTTGGAAACATAAAATATGAATTAAAATTAACTGTTTTCGAAACAGGCGCAAAAGAAACTGGAATCGGCAAAGAAAAAAGAAGAAAGAGAAAAAGAAAAACAAGAGCGTGAGAAGAAAAAACAACAGGAAAAAGAAGAAAGAGCAAAACAAAAGCAAGAAAAAGAGGACCAGAAAAGGCGAGAACGGGAAGAGAAAGAGGAAGCAAAAAGAAAAGAAAGGGAGGAGAAAGAAGAACAAAAACGAAAGGAGAGAGAAGAGAAGGAACGTCAGAAAGAACTAGAAAAAAGTATGTATTTAACATTTCTTTGTCATTAGTCCATTACTGGACATGAGTGTCTTTTGTTTTATGAAAGTTATATATCTATCTATCGGAAAATTCTATTTTCATGGCACCAAAATTGGGTAATAAATTCTCTGACGTCGCCAACGCACGGCAATATTTAGGACTATTGTGTGATACACAATAGTTAAATCTACAAAACAGAAATTATTATAATACTTTCATATTCTTTCAGAATTAAAGGAAGAAAAAGAGGAACAGAAACGCAAGGAAAGAGAAGAAAAGGAGGAAATGCGTAGGAAGGAAAAAGAAGCAAAGGAAGAAGAAAAACGGAAAAAACGAGAAGCTCAAGAGATAGAGCGACAAGAGCAGGAGCAAAAAAAGAAAAAAGCAGCAGAGGCATTTGTTAATTTCTTTGTCCAGAAACAAAAGAATGAAAAAGACCAGCTCACAGTTGGTCCAGTCAGCAAAAACTGCATGTTATCCAGTTTTACTATAAAAGTTGACATGAGATTAGCACCTACTACTAGAAATAGCATAAACGATGAACAAAAGGAAGCACTAGACAATTTTTTAAAGGAACAAAATGTACCTGAAAGTGCATTATATATAAAGAACTTGAAAGAAGGTGACAGAAAACCAATGAGTGATGGAAAAACTTGGCCATGCAGTGATAAAGAAAATGATGATGACGTAATAATAGTTGGTTAGTTTGTAATTGATTCTTAGAACAAGTTTTTTTCAAGCCTTAAGTATATATGCAGTTGGAGCCGCATGCCTCAGTACTTAGACTCCAAAACGTTAAAGATTCTGGGTTCGAACCACAGCAAAATTTAGGTTTTACTGGTTTGTTTGAGTTTGATTGAATCTTTTTGACATATCCCATAGTTAGTTGCCTTTTATGCAACCCATTGGATAAAATGGGGCATGTACTTGTGATACTATATTTCCTGTACAGTTGGTCGCCCAGAAGAACATCATTATTATGTATCTTGATTTCTGTTATCCCTACATGCATAGGTATTTTATCAGTATTTTATTAGTTAGTTATTTTTTCTATAATATTAAAGTGACCGATGAGCTAACAATCCTTTCCTAATGTAGCCCAATAACTCTATCTATTTTCTTACAGCTTATGCTTAAATTAAGATTTTTTTTGTATCCTTGTATTGTGCTGTTGTTTGTTATCCAAAATAAAGAGGAAAAAGTAGGCTACTGGCACATTGTCACATTTGAGGATTAAAATGGATAGAATGGCAGTTGGTGCACTTACATAGACTTCTAGGCAGAAAAGGAGGATGTTGCCTTACCATCACAATTAGTACTGCAAACATTTTTTTTATAGGAATAGGATGACAAACGAGCACACAGTCCACCTGGTTGCTGTGGCCCAGAGACATCCACATCTATCCTCGTTTGCTAATCAAAATGCAGATGCATTGTCACAAGTGAGGACTAAGATGGAATGCCTCCTTTCCAGTAAAAAGGGTCTCCGGTTCTCTACACTCACCATACGAAACACAGCAGCATGAAGCTGCTAATTTACACTGGTATTCTGTGAGGGCGTGATCCTTCCCCGGTCGAGCCGACATTCGTGCTACAACTATATTACTAATATAGCTGAAGCATGACTCTACCATGTTAGAAAAAGTTAATTATAAATATAAAAATTAGGGATAACCTGTCAATTTATCGACTTCAGTACCACCTATAGGATCCTACCTTAGCTATGAACCATTGTCTCGTCAAAATAATAAATTGTAAGAATAACCCCTATATGTTAGTCAGTACTAGATGTAGAACTCCGTTTTTTATGCTTACATTGCTAAATTTTGGTGTGCAGGGTATAAAGAGCCAGTATAAGTAAGGGCTGTGAGACGTTCCATCTCAGTCCTCAGAAATGACAATGAAGCCTACTTTACTTGAAATTGGCTGCAGGTGTCCATGGACTGTAGTGGCCAGAGTAGCCACTTACCAATAGGTGGTAGTTTGTCACTTAGTTTTATAAAAAAATCTATAAAGTCATTGGGATATTACACAATCACTAATAATAGACACACTAACAATTATAAAAAGACTAGAATAAAATTATATTTCAACCGACTTAAAAAAAAGAATAGGTTCTCAATTCGTCTGTATTTTACTATGTGTGTTACTTCAATACTTTTCTCTAGGTAAATCGATTTTGATGATTCTTTTTTTCTGATCTGATCTGACTAGTAGTGACTTTAATGCGTATTTATAATTGTAATTATAATTTAAGTGACTTCAACTACATTGATGATGTTCTCATTTTATTTGTATTGAAGTCAGTTGTACAAAATTTTTAATTTTACCATTTGCTATTTCACATTACAGAGGATGATTTACCGCCAATAGATGATGCCGATGAAATATTGAATTGTGAAACTGCTGTGCGTGAAAAACTACGCCCGAAACTTTTCAGTTTCCATGAAAATAGGCGTCCACCATACTGGGGTACTTGGCGAAAGAAAAGTGCATTTGTTAAACCAAGACGACCATTCCAACAAGATCAGGTAAAGTGCTTTATCTAATGGTTAGTAATGAAAAAAAATACTCTTTAAGTGCGAAATTTGAATTACTTATATTGCAACAAGTGAGAAAAGAAGTCTGATTAGAATGGATTCCCAGTACCTTGAATCAGCAAGTTTTAGGATGGAATAACTGCGGAGATTCTGAGATTGGTACTTAATCCTTCGAAAGCTGTTAAATTTTGTACTTCATGGTGGCATTACTCGGGAGGCTTAGAGTAGAAGTGTGGTGGTCTTGTACTTCAAGAATGCCGATAATGTCTTATTGAAGAAATAAAGATCGATATACAGGGTTATTTTGCAATAACCGGCCATATTTGCAGAGAAGGTTTTTCTACGTGGTAGAGTCATGCTGCAGCTATATTATGGTTGTAGCACGAATGGGTCGGCTCGACCGGGGAAAGACCACGCTCTCACAGAATACCAGCGTAAAATAGCAGCTTAACGCTGCTGTGTTTCGTATGGTGAGTGTAGAGAACCGGAGACGCTTTTTACTGGCAAAGAGGCATTCCATCTTAGTCCTCACGGGTGACAACGCATCTGCATCTTGAGTCTTTATTGAGGATAGATGTAGATGTCTATGGGTCACAGTAACCACTTACCATCAGGTGGACTGTGTGCTCATTTGTCACCTGATCCTATAAAAAAAAAGGTTCAGAATAAGTAATATAGGCAAAAGGTGAAGAAAAATTAATAAAAAAAAATCTCAACATTCTGTCCTTTTTGTCTTTTAAATTCAAAATGCGTGGTAATGCATTAATTTAACTGATTTTACTGTGCACGCACACATTCGTAAGGGTCGATCGGTAGACAAAAAATGTTGCTTATAAATCACATTCAATTTGGGATAATTTCAAATAAAAATAGAAGCCTTATTTACTCGTATTTTCAAAAACTGCTATAACGGTATATCATTATTTATATATTTGAACTTAAGTTTTAAATTTGGCTACTCTTTGAAAAATAACCCTGTATATACATGCTTACCAATATATAATAATAATAATAAGCTCTACTGGGACCGGGCCATCATCACAGACAGGACCATTCTTGCAAATAAGCCTGATATTGTGCTGATGGACCGGGCACAGTCAAGGATATTTTTGGTCGACATTACCATTCCGTATGACGAGAACCTCGTGAAAGCCGAAACAGATAATCGAACAAAATATCTGGACCTGGCTCACGAGGTGACCGAAATGTGGGATGGACTGCCGGCTCAAATTATACCTGTAGTCGTTTCAGCAAATGGGTTAATCCCAGTCAGCCTCTCGGGTGATCTGAGGTGGCTGGGACTCCGTGACGGACCGCTCCAAGCTCAAATGCAGAAGGCAGTGCTCCTTGATATCGTCCGCCGGTTTCTTTCCCTTTCCCCCTAACCCTCGGCAGGGGAGACCAAACTCCCCTGCCGAGGGCTTCCATCTAGTTGGGTTTTTATTTATTTATGTATTTATTTTATTTTGTTGATATTTATGTATGTTTATCATTTAGATTAAATAGAGTAGTGGCTTGGAGTAAGGAGAACAAGTTGCAATTTAACATCTCAAAGTGCTTGACAATATCATTCACCCGCTCAAAAACACCTATATTGCAAAACTATGAGGTTGACAATAAGCTTATGAAAAGAGTTACAGAAGTGCGGGATCTGGGTGTTCAAATGGATTCCGGACTAAATTTTCATGCTCATGTTATTAATATCTGCAAAAAGGCGTATAGGAATCTAGGGTTTGTTCTTCGCCGAGTAAATAATTTTACAAATGTCAAAGCAATCATTGTATTATACAATGCCTTGGTCAGAAGTCATTTGGAACACAATGCAATCGTTTGGTTTCCGCATGAAGCTAAGTATAACCTAATGTTGGAGAGGGTACAGAATAAATTTGTGAGATATCTGTATATGAAACTTTACGGCGTGTACCCATTCTATCCCTTAATGTATCCAACATTATTCATTTTAGGAATGGTCGGATACAATGAACTTAGGGTTAGGAGAGAACTTGCTCTAGTTTTATATATTTATAAGGTACTCATAGGGAAAATATTTAATCCTGAAATACTAAAACAATTAAACATGTATGTACCCGACGGATACATAGGGAGACGGCGACGGCCACAATTGTTTGCCGTGCCGAAAGGAAGGACAAACCTAATGCGTCAGGCGCCCCTCACACTTGCTCTCTGCACACTTAATTTCTTAGCGAGAGAAATAGACTTGTTTTGCTGTCCAATGAGTGAGTTCACAAAGATAGCATTATACATTATTTGTTACGTACCTAATTTAAAAAGATAATTGCATATAATAATAATAGCACATAAATTAGTTATAATAATAGCATATAGAATAGTTACACTATCGTATTAGGATTACCTGTAAAGATAGTTGTAAGTGTTGAAATAAATAAATAAATAAATAAATTTTCATTTACAATTATATATTTATACAGCCCAACCAGATGAGTGAACTATGTAGATACCCCACATAATAATAATAAGCCTTTTATTTCCACATAAAAAGAACCAACATATATTATAAAAATATATTTAAAAGTCTTGCATTGCTCTTAAGTAACAATAAAAAGTACATAAAATGACAAGACAAATAAATAAAATTGTATGCATCCCAAACAACCTATGGGAAAATAGTATTATATATGAAGAAGCTGAATTATACAATAAATTGCCAAAAAATAGGAGATAATCAATAAACATATCTACTTTTAAAAAACCCCTTATAAACTATACTCTGAATAAATATTTTCGACTTACCTGACATTATTAATTAATAATGTTATGCAAGTAACATATTATGTATAACATAATGTGTAATAAAGGCAATCTTTATCCTTAGTCTTATTTATTGCTTGCCCATAGAAGCTGTTAGACTATGAAGTGGACAGTGATGAAGATTGGGAAGAAGAGCAGGAAGGGGAAAGTATTGACGGTAGTGCTGCTGGTAGCGAGGATGAACAAGATGCAGATGAATACGAAGTTGATAATGAAGTGTTTGTGCCGCATGGATATCTTAGTGATGAGGTATGGATTTACAGTTTTTACACAACTGCCAAAGAAAAAAAGAGTTAAGTTTTTCAAGTGTATATATGTGCAAATATGAGGGATGCATCATAATTTTTTTTATTTAAAAAAAAAGTTACCTCCACACTAGAATTTTCTCCTGTATTTGTGGGGACAGTTTACATACACTAATTTCACAAGGACAAACATCCAGATTTGGAACAATTATGTGTAGGCCATACAAATACATGTTTCATGCAGGATTTGAACTCATTGCTAAGCCACTGTGCTACGGAGCCGTCCTCCGTTTCCGTGCGTATTGATATATGTATGTGTGTATGTGAGGCTGTGACATATCAAACCAAAATATGCTATTATGAAGTCACATCTCCCAATTCGATTTATCAATGCAATCCAAGAAGAATTTAAAAGTCTATATTCAAGCAACTGTCAACTTTTTCATAGATCAATATTATCGATATTTCTGGATTTTAATTATATTGTTACAAGTCTAGACGAGTGATTTTACAAATTGTATGTAAACAAACGCGTATAACAAGTTCTTTGGGTCATACAAAAATATTTTTTATGTACGAGAATCGAACCCGCGACATGCAGAGCCACAGTCAAACGCTTATACTTAAACGTAAAAATGTTTGTCGGTTTCTATATGAACTCCTGTAACCAAAACAGCATACGAATTTGAAATGTGATCTGTGGTTTAATTTTTCTCCATCCCAGTGTTTCTTATTAATAGCTAGCCCACATCACCCTGCAGGCGGTGTAAGAGGCGACAGGAGGAAACTGAAATAGAATCAGGTGTTACTTTGCGGAAATCCATTATATAAAAGTTTTTAGAATTTTTTTTCTAAAAACAACACAAGGGGAATTGCAGATGCGTTGCCGGCCTTTTAAAAAGGAGTAGGCTCTTTTCTTGAAGGTCCCTAAGTTGTATCGGTCCGAAAAAATCGCTGGTGGTAATCGATTCCACTAGGAATTTGTGCGAGGGAGAAAACTCCTTTTAAATCGCACAGTGCTGGACCGCCAATCATACATGATGGTATGGATTTTTTGTAATTTATGTACTGTTTACTATCACTTTCATATTAATATTGTCAGCAAGCAATATTTGTTATTTGTTGTGAATTGTGCACTAATAAAACTTTAACCATAGACTATAAATAATACTTTAATAAGAAGTTCTGGTAAGAGCGGTAAGAGTAAAAATAAATCACTAAATCAGTTGGTTAGCCATGCAGCGCCACTACATAATGAAGCGGATGCCAGAAAATAAATATATAAAGAACTAAGAGCGAGATTGTCGACGAACTAGTTCGCATAGTTCACCTAAAGGAGCGCTCTTCCCACCTAGGTCGTTCGCGAACTACCTAAGACTAAAAAGCAGTGATACTTAAGGAGAAATCTGAGCAAGGAGGCCGTATTGCAGAAGGAATATGGCCTCCTTGCTAATAAATAGAAATTTATATTTACAAAATAGTGTGGTGGTGGACAATTTTCTTGGCCTAAAATCCTCCCTAAAATAAGAGGAGGCATGTGCCCAGCTGTAGGACGTATATAGGCTATAACTTTAATTTTTTTATGAGGAAAATGCTGCATCTTTTGTGGCAGTTTCCCTCTGTGTACAAAACCCACAGGATGATGTGGGTAGTGGATACTACCAGTACATTGATATTCAGTTATCGCTATTATATAATAACAAAAATCTTTTCAGGAAGCTACAGTGGATGAAGACGATGTCTTATCTCTTTCGCCCGAGACACAAAAAGCCAGACTAAAACACTTGGAAGATGAATTTGAATCTGAATTAAAGAAGCCAACAGAGAAATTAAAACCTAGAATGTATGGCATATTATGGGAGACGGCTGATGGAAATAAACCAGAAAAATGTGTTGATGCATTATGGGATTACTTTAAGAAATTCTCCATTATTATGAATGACTTAACGCCATTACTTCATCCATCAAATGAACCCGAGGAAACAGAAAAAAAGAAACTGAAAAAGAAAAAAAGTGTGCCTGATGTAGAACAGGTGCAAAGTAGTGCAGAAAAAAAGAAAAAAATTAAACAAGACAGTAAGGAATCAAAAAAATTAAAACCCGAGGCAAAAAACATTATCCAAGAAACAATGAAAAATCAACCCGTAATTAATACATTTTTAACAAAATTAAAGTCCCCGTAAACAGTATTTTGTATAATTGAATATCCTATTTAATAATCTATTTTTTAACTTATATATCTCACAAAATATACAGCGTTTACTATATCACTCTATAAATAGTTTGAATGTCTTTTAAACAAGACTGTAAGAAATTGTTGTGATCGACATGATTTTAAATGAATAATATGTTGTAATTTAGAAAAATTTTATCAATACATACATATTTCCTGTATCTTGTTTCCATTAATAACCTTGTCATTTTAATAAAGTTTTCGTAATTTCACAAACTAAAACTAATAAACGTTTGGCTAGTAGACCAAAATGAGTGAATTGGGCTGAAAGTGAGTGTTGCGCTTTGTATTTGCGGCATATGAGAATCCACTGCTACGAAAATATATGTATACTTTATCTATATCACACGATAGTATAGTATATATATTATATACTATACTATCGTGTGATCCACTACTCCATATCGTTCCGTAGGCGACAGAAGAAGTTAAACAGGAGATGGGCATCAGCACCTTCCTGATAACAATTAAACATAATAAAAAAAAATAGTTTTTTTTCTTTAATTTCTCTTCCATGAGGCAATCTAAGGTCGAGGTGTTCAGTCTTTTGATAGGCTGTAAAGAATGAATCATCTGTTACGTAGCATAAAAATGTGTCTTCGCTAGTAAGAAAATGGGAGAGTACCTTTATTCCTCCCTCAATAGTGTTTAAGAGGCGAAACATTTGAGGGAGGAATAAAGGTTTATTAAATTTTTTGACGGTGATTTGTGTTCCCTTGTATTTATGGACCCATGTTCTTCCAGTGTTTCCTAAGAATGGGCCGCTATGGGGGAAGGTGAAACACTATGGGGTTTTAGTTGGTGAGAGACCGACATAATAAAAGAAAACACGTGTGCATGTTCCTCTTAACGCACTGCCCTATACAATATATTACTTGGTCTATGACCACAAACTATATAGAAACACTACGGGTTTCTATGACTTAACGCAGGGGATGCCAGTCGCTTTAAGTGTATATGTATGTTAACGCACAGAGAAACTAAGGAATCTTTTTAATTGAAAAAATATCTGGAAATACTTTATTTCCCCTGTATTATTCATAGAACGAAACAGAATATTCCTAGTCTTTTTTTATAAAATTGAAGTCACAAGCACCTGAGGATAAGTGAAGTAAAGTCCTGGGAAGGAAATAAGTAGTACCACCTAGTAGTAGTGTAAGTCAGTATTATAAGTCAGTGCTTAAGTTGAATGTTCATTCATTCAACTTAAGGCAAGGGTATTTAATAAGTCATAATTTAAGTCCAACTATAATTTTCAATATTGGGAGTATTGGAGGGTATGATTCTTTGTTCAAGATTGGAGGGCACACAAATGCCGGCGGATTCATTACAATACTCTGGGCGGATTGCTACTCTTGTATCATAGATAAGAGTGTATATACTGAAATCTTGTATTAGCGTTTAAATAATTTGATGATTGATTTGAAGTTGATGTGGATTTTGATACATAATAATAGTGCGATTTTAGTGAAAATGAACTAAAAGTGCTTCAAATATGATATAAATCCTAGATTAATGATAAGTCATCGCGCGCTCTGACTAGATACCGCCGGCGCTCATGTAAAATGCGCAACAAATACCACAGAGTACATTATAACTACGCCGAAATCGGCGTAGTTATAATGTACTCTAATGTATTTTTAAAGGTTTTTAAAGGTCACTGGTTTTTAAAGGTATTTTTAGGTTTTTTCTTTCCTTTTTATAAGAAAGGAACAATACATCAAAATAACTTCTACCTTTATTAAAATCTTTTTTATGAAAATCAAAGTAATTTTTACATAAAAATAACTAATCACATAAGTCGTAATTTTGATTAAGAAAACATATGTGATCGACAGCATCCGCTGGCAACCTGCTTCTTCTGGATGACAGTACATATCCCGATTTGGAAAACATCCTTTCCGAAGGCACAGACGTTGCTGGCACCGATAAATATTTTAGCGCTAAAACGTTCAATGGCACTAAATGTTTGTTCTTGCTCCAAAAAGTGCCAGCACTTTCAGCTTCAACATGCTCGGACTGTCTCCAAATACATGCGCATTAAGTTAACGGACTAAGTTGCGGACGCAGTTGGATGGATAATGGATTTCCTTTGTTTCAAAAAGTCCAAGAGTACAGGTTTTTTCTGTTCTATGTTTGTCTCCACTGATCTTTGGACTGCTTGTTCTGAAGTCGTAGCCGTAATATTGGTTTCAGAATCCTTTATTAAATGAGATAGTTCTTTTCTTACTATTTCTTTTGCCGATAACATATTTTCCGAACGCCTAAAACCAGACCTTAATACCGAATGTAAGTATGTTGACATTTGCGTGACAGTTCTTGTCTCGTATACTAAAAGCCTGTTGCTCATATTTCGCCTTACTGATGAGCAAAACATTTTGCCTATATCTGTCTCGGTAGTATTTTCAATGGTGGTCAAATTCTCATACAATCCACAAATTACTGGTATGATTAATAAACTGGTCGGATATGTATCAGCACTAACAAGCTTTGTAGCCTGTTCGAATATTTCCAAAATCTTTATTATTTCTTTGCCCACTTTTTCTTCACAGGCGGTTAAGTAGTCTGGTGCCTGGATTAATTTTCTACATACTAATGCTAGAACATCAGATAATTGAAGAATTCTAGACACCATACAAAACCGTTTTCAGTGCCTAGAAGACTGCAATGAAGTGGACGGTTTGAATGACAAGCTCGTGGAAACTGTCCATGCGGTCGGAGCTAAGTTCTGCAAGACCCGCCGCAGAAGAACACAAAAACTCTCCGATCACACTCTTAATCTCATGGCTGTTAGACGGGAGATGAAGCTACATTCTTCAACAGATTTGGCAGCATACAGGCAACTGAACAGACAGATCTCCAAATGCATGCGGCGGGACTCACGCAACTTCAATACAGCTCGTATTGAAGAAGCGATCCAGCGGAACCAAGGCTCCAAAGTCTTTGCCAGAGATCTGTCTGCCAGAAAGAGCCAACTGTCAAAGCTGAAGACCGAATGTGGCAGCATCGTTTCCGGGGCACCTGAGATTTTGAGTGAGATTGAGAGGTTCCATGGGCAGCTGTACACGTCTTCGTTGGAGTCGCACGCAAGTGTGAGTAACGATCCAAGAGCGAGTCTTATCCGACATTATTCCGATGATATCCCGAACGTCAGTCTGAGCGAGATTAGAATAGCTCTCCAGCACCTTAAAAACGGCAAGGCCCCAGGCGAGGATGGAATTACAGCGGAGCTTCTGAAAGCGGGTGGAAAACCAGTACTTGAAGTCCTTCAGAAGCTCTTTAATTCCGTCCTCCATGGTGGCACTACTCCGGAGGCGTGGAGCAGAAGTGCGGTGGTCTTGTTCTTCAAGAAAGGCGACAACGCTCTCTTGAAGAACTACAGACCGATTTCCCTTCTGAGCCGCGTCTACGTGCTGTTTTCGAGAGTCATTACGAATGGTCTTGCGCGCAGACTTGACGACTTCCAGCCTCCCGAATAAGCCGGTTTCCGAAAAGGCTTTAGTACCATAGACCACAAACATACCCTTCGGCAAATTGTACAGAAGTCCGAGGAGTACAATTTGCCACTATGCCTGGCGTATGTGGACTATGAGAAAGCCTTTGATTCCGTCGAAATTTGGGCGGTGCTGCAGTCCCTTCAGCGATGCCAAGTTGACTGTCGGTATATCGAAGTGTTGAAGTGCTTGTACAGTAGGGCTACGATGGCTATCCGAGTACAGAACCAGAGTACGAAACCTATCCAATTGCAGAGAGGTGTATGACAGGGTGACGTCATATCCCCGAAACTCTTTACCGCTGCATTGGAAGATGTTTTCAAGCTTCTGGACTGGAAAGGATACGGTATCAACATCAATGGCGAGTACATCACTCACCTTCGATTTGCCGACGATATAGTCCTTATGGCAGAATCGCTGGAGGACCTAAGCACTATGCTCAATGACCTCAATAGTGTTTCCCAACGGATAGGTCTTAAGATGAACATGGACAAAACAAAGATCATGTTTAATGTCCATGTCACACCTATGCCGGTAGTTGTTGGGAACACTAAGCTCGAAGTTGTTGACGAGTATGTTTACCTGGGACAAATAGTCCGACTAGGTAAGTCCAACTTCGACCGAGAGGTCAATCGACGGATTCAACTCGGTTGGGCAGCGTTCGGGAAATTACGGCACATCTTCTCGTCAGGTATACCTCAAAACTTGAAAACGAGACTGTACACCCAGTACGTGTTGCCAGTGATGACATACGGAACTGAGACGTGGTCCTTCACTGCTGGCCGGATGAGGAAGCTCAAGGTCGCTCAGCGAGCTATGGAGTGGGCTATGCTCGGAGTTTCTCTGCGTGATAAACTCAGAAATGAGGATATCCGCAGTAGAACCAGAGTGACCGACATAGCCCAACGGATTAGTAAGCTGAAGTGGCAATGGGCCGGCCATATAGCTCGAAGAACCGACAACCGATGGGGAAGAAAGGTTCTCGAGTGGTAGCCTCGTACTGGCAGGCGAAGTGTAGGGCGTCCCCCCATTAGATGGAGTGACGACCTGGTAAGATATGCAGGAAGTCGATGGATGCAGGTGGCTCAGGACCGTGCTTTGTGGCATTCTTTGGGGGAGGCCTATGTTCAGCAGTGGACTTGTGAAGGGCTGTAATGATGATGATGATGAGACACCATGTAGAATTTGCTGTTCCATCGTGTCGATACTTCTTGTATCAACTTTAAAGGAGTAGTATTGGGATTTCTTTCCTTCTGTTCTGCTTTTAGCGCTCGCCACCCTACAGACGACTTTTTAAAAAACTTAACAATAGCCTTACATTTGTTAATAATTTCCCAAATCTCAGGAAGCTCTAAAGCATCATCAACAGTTAGATTAAGCGTATGCGCAAAACATGGCATGTGCCGTATGTTTAGCAATTCGCACACTTTGATCATGTTAGTAGCGTTATCTGTGACAATGGTTGTAATTTTGCCAGTTAGTTTCCATTCTGTTAGTTAGTTAGAAACAATTTCGGCAAGATTTTCAGCTGTATGTGCAGTGGGGACATCTGAGGTAGTCAAGACATAGCTTTTTAAATCACCTTTCAGAAAACAATGAATTGTGACCGTAATAAAGGATTCCATATTTTGGTTAGACCACAAATCAGCGGTTAGTGCAGCATGCTTAACATTATCAAGTGCAATAGCAAGTTTCAACTTTGCATTTTGGTACTGTTGCGGCATTAATTCGTACCTGATTTTTTGTCTACTTGGCAATTTGTAGTTTGGGTTCAAAACTTCTGTGAACCTGTTAATCCTCTGTCTTCAACAATCGAAAAGGGCTGGAAGTCCGTAGCGATCATCATGGTTAAATATTTATCAATATTTTTCTTATTATTGACCAAGGTCACTTTTAATGTAGTTTGGAGCAGAGGAGTTTTTGAAATGTTCAAAGATTGTTCTTGCTTAGTTTGTCCTAAGGCGGATAGGTTATTGGACTGTTCACCTGCAACATTCCCCTGCATTTCCACTGTAGCCTGCGGATGGTGTCTTTTTAAATGAGCGAACATATTAGAAGTTCCACCACCAACCTTAATTATTTTTTCGCATAGTTTACATTTGGCAGTATCATTATCAATTTTTTCGAAATGGTTCCGTGTGATGGATTTTCCTTTTACCTTCGGCATCCTGCAATACAATAAAATGCAATTCATTGATAAAAAAATTCAGGTAATTTATTTAAATTATACTTAAACAAAAAGGTTTTCTATTTAACGAGGTATTAAGTACTTAATAATTAATTACTTACCTATCGATGATTTCCTGCAAAACGTTTACTTAACCTGATAACAAACTAAATCTTTTTGAAGAAACGCAAGAGAAATAACCATACGCATAACACACGCAAAAGAATGACTGAACGGGCTGAAGTTTGTCAACAGTGTTGCCTAATGGTTGAAATGGCGCGGTGATTCCCCAATCAAAGACAATATAAACTTGGTCTGACTCTCCCTATATCTATGGTCTGACTTTGGTGTTCAGATACACGATTAATGAAAGACAAGTGTGTCCAAAGTAATCGGTTTTAGTAAAAAGAAACCAGGGTTTATGGGTTATTAAAAAAACCGGTTTTATTTATTTTTTTCTAAAACCAGTTCACATCACTACCAGCAGCCTAGGGATGCGCAAAGGGAAAAAATATATCGATATATATCGAATCTATATTTTTAAACAGAATCGATGTATATCGCGTGATAAATATCGATATATCGTCATCATTTGAATGATGTAAAGATAAGGTCCAAAATTTTATCTACTGACGGTTGGACGACGAAAAACACTATACAATATTTTTAAATATATCGAAATTGATACGAATTCGATACTCTAAAATAAATATCGATATGTCGATATATCGTGATTTAAAATATCGACGATATTTATCGATATTTTTATTATAAAATATCGATATATCGATATTTTTTGCCCAAGCCTACAGCAGCCAGTCGCGTTGCAGGCAACGTGTGAGGTGAACGTATCGAATGTTGTATTAAATTTTGATCATAATCCGAAGTAAAATACCAGTTTACGTATTTAAACTGTGTAAAAATAATACTACAAGAAATAAGAAAGACCCTGGGAATCACGTACTATCATTAAGTATCATACAATTTCGAAATTTTAACATAAAATAACACGAGCCATAAATAAGTCACAAAATATCAATGACGCTATTCAGTGTTGCCGCGAATGCAAAAATAAAGTTCCCCGTGGCTGAGATATTTTATATGTGAATTTATTGTTACTATATTTTATAATATAATATATTAAACTTATTATTATATAACCTAATTTTAAATTATTTAATGTTTATTTCTGTAGTATTGCTCAAATGACAATTGCCATTTACTAGGGTTCCGTACCCAAAGAGTATCAACGGGACCCAAGTCTCCACTATCGTTCCGTCTGTCTGTCAGTAGACTGTATCTTATGAACCGTAATATGTAGATACTTGGAATTTTCATAGAATGTGTATTTATATTGCTGCTATAACAACATAAAATAAAAAAGAAAACAAGTAAAAACGGTAAAAGCTCATGATAAACTTTCAATACCACCATACACACAGCATCATTTAATTTCGTGTTAATTCAGGTTTCGCTTTAGTCTGTAAACAAAACACATATCACATACAGAAAAAAAAATCACGTTTCTTGTATGAAGCTTCATATAATGATAACATGATATAATGCTTCATATAATGATAGCATAAAAATAAAATGATGCTGTGTGTATGGTGGTATTGAAAGTTTATCATGAGCTTTTACCGCCGGGTAAAACCATCGATTCGGATCTCTACTACCAATAAATAATGAGACAAGCAAGAAATAGAAAAAGAAACGTCTGGCATTGATAATCAGAAAAGGAGTGGTCTTTCATCATGATAACACCAGATCACAAGATTAGTTATCTGTTTGAGACTTTCAATACACCCTAACATTCCTAAAAATCCAGTATTTGCTTGAGTTTTAGTCATTATTTTCTTTTGTTGCTTGTGTTCTTTAAAAGAAAGCTTTCTGGAGGTTTTAATATTAAAGTTTATAATTTTTTTTTGCCATTATAAATGGGTTGACTATGGTGACATTTATTTTCTCAAAAGATTTACAAATCACTTACAGAGAAAATACTTATTAATTAAAAACATTAATCCGATTGGCGTAGTGAGTTAGTATTATAATAGGTCGCTAAAACTTAATTACTGATTGAGTGCATAATAATATGATTAGTAATAATTACCAGGAACAGGGTAGTATGATATGAATGAATGTGGCGAGTTGTTTGTTAAGGCCCATGACACATTAACTGTTTCATTGCGTTCATTTTTTAAAATTATTACTATATTATGTGTTATATTACCATAATTAGTTAGTGTTTATTTATTTAGTATTATATATTATATTTAGGAGTCAATTTGCTTGTAAATTATGATTAAATCCATGTTCTTTCAAATCACTGGTATAGAATATATCAAATAAAACTACTTGTCGCATTTTTTTAATCAAAATCACAAGATTCCTACAGCAACGTTTATTTTTCATTATTTCAATACCTACAAGATGGTAACAAATTATCGAACAGAATAGACCCATATAGATTAAAATTGAATGTGATAAAACTTTAAAACAAAAACGTCTTGAATTTGTATACAATATATGAAGAAACTTTTTCCCCAGTCTTATATACTAACTAAAGGTGTAACAAATAGTACTTAATAACTTAGGTAATGATAGCCCGTCAACGTGAATAATTTTTATTATGGGATCATCTTCGAAATTTTCAATTTATACGTGATAGAAAAAAACTATGAACTTAACTACTAAGCCATAGCATAAAATAAATTTTCCATTAATCGGGTAATAGTTAAGCTGCTGGCATATACAATTTTTCACGCACACTAGCATCATGCAAATTGTATTATACACACTACAATATTAAGATGTCGCACTCACGGAGTTGTTACTTGCAGGGAGCGCGGTATCTAGTCAGAGCGCGCGATGACTTATTATTAATCTATGCTCACTGAATATAAAAGTCAAACAATTAAACTATTTTATTAATACAAATTTAATTTTTAATTTGTTATTAGTAATATTTATTCAATGAATAGCTTTTATACGTCGATTGAAAAATCGGCCCTGAGTCATACCAAAGTTCAATACTGTAAGTTATAGGCGGTTACTGTAAACAGTGATCGTCAAATTTCGAGATGATACACATAAGTGTGGATATAAGTAAGTCTATTAACTTTTCGTTTGGAGAAGTATGGTAATATTACCATATTATCTTTAGGGTAAGCACTTCCATTAGGAAGAGAACTTCTTGGTGTTTGGATCATGGATTCATGGGCTGTATGGTCATACCAATGATCGGATGCTGGAGAACGTGGTTTCCTATTTATGTAGAAAGTTTCTTTATATGAATTCTTATTACTAGTATGAGGAGATGGATTTAAAGGAGTTTTGCTTGCAACATCTGAATAGGCTCGTTTTTATGGGCGAACTCTTACAGATGCTTCATCATAAGAGATATGTTCTTGGGACATAATTACTTTAATAGATTTTTGTCTATTAAATTCTGGACAGGATGTACTAATAACTGCATGATTACCAGTAAAGTGAAGACATGTGACCGAGGTAACTTCAAATGATTCTCCATCATGAGGTTGTCCACATTTATAACAACGAGGCTTAGATCTGCATTTAGACTTAACATGACCAAAACGACAGCAGTTATAACATTGTATTGTAGGTAAGAGGTAAGGTTCTACAGGATATGAAGTGAAATTGGCAAAAACGTGTGAGGGCAGTAATTTACCGGAGAACGTAATAACGATCGTTGTGTTGGATTCCACTCAACAGAGTTGTCTGCTTTAATAACTTTACGGTTTAGACGACGAGCGCGAATTATTTCCGTAGAAGAAGCAACTACTGATGCAGAAACGAATTCATCCATACCTATATCGATTGGAAAACCTCTAATGACACCCATTCTCGTAATAGCATAGGTAGGAATTTCGGCTACAAAATTTGCTTTAGCAAAAAATGGACTTACAACAAAATCGTTAGCTAGTTGGGGGGAAGAAAACTCTACAGAAATACGATTGCGTCCTATGCTCTTAACACCATTTTTTAAAATTCTCTGAATATTGTTTTGGTACAGAAATTGACCCACTTTAATTGGCTTAATTGTAGTTCCGGAGGAGGGCTCCACTGACGGTTTCATAATGTGAACAATAAAAGGTGCACTGTCATTATTATTATAGCGTTTCTTTTCTTCAGATAAAGGATGAACAAATACATTCTGTACGGCTGCTGAAGGAAGAGAAGACACCTTTTTCTTCGGTTCTAAATTTAAGGCTGATATATTATAGGCTTTGCGTTTCATAGGATTACCAGTATCGGACTGGTAAAATGTATCAGTAGGATTAGAATTAATAAAAAAGTCGGGTGAAGATCCAGATTTTCCGGCATTATCCGGAGGATCTGAATCCTGTTCAATCTCTTCCATCCCCAGTAGATAAGCTAGCTAGGAATAATAATAAACACTTACGTACAATAATTAGATTGAAAATAAAAAAATATAACGATTCAAACGAAAATAACGTCTTTAATTAAAAGTTTCTTGAGAAAATTTATTAAACCCGTGTGACAACCAATCACCATGACAACAGAATCCCCATACGTTTTTATCTTATACCTACACGGTCCATCTTGACGTACGTCTCGCCTCTAGGAGTAAAACTAGTCTGTGCTCCCGCCAAAGTCACAAAGCACGATGCGAAAGGATGGCGAAGTTTCATAATGTTGTTAATATTATATTCAACGTAATAGTATTAAAATATAGATTAAAACTAATCAGTGATATTTTTTTTGAAATCCATCAATAAATTACCTAGAAATAGATTATTGAAGTTTACGTATTTTAGTACGGAACGTCTGTGGTTTCTGATGCGTCATCTAACCTATCCGAGATCGCCGCCTATATATAATGTACTCTGTGATTGCCGCACCACGAACCATTCAAGTATTAGTTCTTGTGCTATTGTTTATTCTGTGGTATTAGTTTCAGAGGTATGAGGTGATTGACGTCCCGATGTCAAAGTTAACCCGTGACCACGGTTGCTGGAAAGCAACCGAAACGTCGGGAATATAAAATAACTTAATTAAACGCGATAAAATCCGTAAAAGTAGTTTTATCCAATCAGTTTACTTAAGTTTATCACGCAGAGAAAACCCGATCATAGCCCTCTCCATAGCTTGCTGAGCAACCTTGAGCTTCCTGGAACAGTTAGCAGTGAAGGACTACGTCTTAGATCCATAAGTCATCACTGGCAACACGCACTAGTTCTTGTTTTGAAGTCTTGAGGAGATGCCTGATGAGAAGATGTGCCGTAATCTCCCGAACGCTGCCCAGTCGCGTTGAATCCTTTGATTGACCTCTTGGTTGAAGTTGGACTTACCTAGTCGGAGTATTTTTTTCCCAGGTTGTTGTGTAAACATATTCGTTAACAACTTCGAGCTTAGTGCTCCCAACAACTACTAGCATAGGTGTGACATGGACGTAACACATGACCTTTCGCTGAAGGGCCTAAAAATATGCTCAATGACTACAATAGTGTCTCCCAACGGTTGGAAGACACTATTGTGTGACATGGACGTAACACATGACCTTTCGCTGAAGGGCCTAAGAAATATGCTCAATGACTACAATAGTGTCTCCCAACGGTTGGAAGACACTATTGTGGTATATGCCTTAAGATGAACATCTTTTATATAACAGTAATAAATTTTACAATATTTATTTTGGAAAACAAGTTGGATAGGTCTGAGCGGTCAATTTTCGGTATTTTTTAGGGATCTGGTGCACTAAAGCTGTCTTCTTTGAGTTCGGGACTAAGAGTTTTAGAAAAGACACGTTATGACCGGTGCCAACTAGGGAGCACACGTCTTCAGCACGATGGAAGGAACGCCATCAGACCCACTTGACTTGACCTCTAGGAAGAGTTGTGCTATGCGCACCGAGCACTGTGTAAACCGTATCGTACCGACCTGAAGACGAAATTATACTTCTTTTTAACAGCGCTGGTGCACTCCTATTATAGCGCGATGTAATTTTACAGGAGCGACCAAACCAGTCACCACAGATGATAGAATAATGAGTTCAATTCCCTGAAGTTCCACATTAGTGACATAATCACGTTGGCATAATCCGGCGAGAATCATACCTGCCCGTGTCCTTAAGGGAAGGATGCAAAAAAATAAGACATCCTGTTCTAATCGGCCGACCTATAGTGCAAAACACGGCGGCGATCTGCGAACGCAGTAGGTAGGTGGTAGTGTAAGTTTTTTTTTATAGAATCGGGTGACAAACGAGCACACAGTCCACCTGATGGTAAGTGGTTGCTGCGGCCCATAGACATCTATCTATCCTTGTTGCGAATCAAAATGCAGATGCGTTGTCACCCGTGAGGACTAAGATGGAATGCCTCTTTCCCAGTAAAAAGGGTCTCCGGTTCTCTACACTCACCATACGAAACACAGCAGCATTGAGCTGCTATTTTACGCTGGTATTCTGTGAGAGCGTGGTCCTTCTCCGGTCGAGCCGACCCATTCGTGCTACAACTATACTACTAATATAGTTGCAGCATGGCTCTGCCACGTAAAAAAACTGAAATACCGAAATAGAGTGACACCATAGTCCGGATCAGACAATGGTCTAATGAGGCAAGAGGAGCGTCGGAAGGTCCAACAGGCAAAGTGCACGATCCTCCACATCTAGAATCTGCGTAGGCGAAGTGACCATTTCTATCGGACCATATGCCAAGGCAAAGTCATAAACAGATATTAAACGAGAACCAAGCCATGCAGTGTGGTGGCCGTTAAAATCACCAAGGATCACGATCTTTGCCGATGAGACCTGTTGTATCATGGAGTCTCCAGCGATTTGGACGTGGTCGATGAATTGGTCTATGTCGTCATTACCTATAGAGGCACGTAGACGCGAGGATGGTCTTCGCTGACTTACAAGACTGCCGAGAAGTCGAGAACAGTTGTCCTCTCTGACGTATACGTAAACTCCATCCCGAGGCACAAAGGTGTTCTAATTTGTACCCCGGATAGGAGAGAAGTATCGACCGGAGAGGACACCTAAGCCTCGGTTAGAAAGAGCAAGGTCAGCTTCGCCGTCTTCAGATGGTACCTAGTGGACTTCGTTAACGTACGAACAAAATAGTAAGAAGGGTTGGGCATGGAAGCTCAGCCAGGGATTCTCCAATATCAGGGGTACTGGTACCTTCCTGGCATGGCTTCTTATTTAATTACACTGCCATGTTAAGAGGGAGAGCGGTTAGGCCTCCAACCACCTGCACTTACCAGGCGTAGTAATCTTCTACTTCACGCTGGTTATCTGTAAGGTCGTGGTACCTCCTCGGTTCGAGCCGGTCCACCCATTCATTACATTCATTCATTACAGCTCTCAATTTCATGTCTTAAAAGGTCGTCACTCCATCTAGTCTGGCCCACACGTACGACATCAAAAGCTACCGTGTGGCTCTTCCATTGTTATGTTGTCTGCCTATACTATTAACTGTAATCTACTTCGTCACTTTTTTATGCGTTACACATAATACTTAATAGTAAGTAGCTTTGCTTTATTATGCCCTGCAGTGGGCGACAAGGAGCTGATGATGAAGTAATTTTGCACCTTTAAAGTATTAAGTTTAGTTTTAATAGGGCCCCCATTTCATTTTTGCCCCGGAGCCCTTGGTTTCATTGCTACGCCACTGGAGCAGCCATCGACGACGACTCGGAAAAACCGTTAACTCAAAAAGTCCTTTGTCAATTCAATCAGTCCAGGGCATAAGCCGTACGCTGGAAGCTTACTCAAAAGGCTAGCATGCCAAACTCTGTCAAAGACCTTCGAGACATCAAGGGAAACAGCAAGTGCTTCCCCACTGTTCTCGAGTGCCTCGCCCCATACGAGTGTGGCATATGCTAGAAGGTCCCCAGCTGATCGATTTTGGCAAAACCCATATTGGCGGTCACTAAGGAGATCATTCTGTTCTAGGTATGATATTAAGCGGGTGTTCAATATACGCTCCATAATCTTGCAGAGTATGGAGGCAATTGAGATTGGCCGATAATTGGCAGGGTCAGCACGGCTGGCTTTTTTTGGAACAGGCTGCACGTTGGCCAGCTTCCAGGATTTTGGCACTATTTCAGTCCTAAATAAGAGGCGGAACATGCGTGTCAGCTTAGGAAACAACTCAGGTGCACAAGCCTTTAGAACTGTAGCTGGTATACCATCTGGTCCACTAGCTTTATTTAAGTGTAGATACCGCAAGGTTTTACTTTAACTTGCTTATTTGTTATACGCACATCTCTCATAGAACTTCCGCAGTGAGGTAATTTAGGTGGAACATTTTTGCCTCTGTCCAGACGTGAATTATGTACAAAATAAAATGCCCATATTATTATAAATTTTATCAGTCATGTAAGTAACATCTAATATTTAAAAAAAACTACATACAAATTATAGATAATTAAGATAATTTAAGATATACCTGTTTTATGTTACAACGCAACGCAACGCGCAACTCTAACTTAAAATAACGACTTTAACCGATTATGTTAATCGCCATAATATCGATTTCTGTTTTACTTTTATCTCTTAATCAAACGTCATCGTCTAATTGTCAAATGTCAGTGTTCTGTACCTGCTAAGGGTAGGTAAAAAAGTTAAATAAAATTATATGAGTTTTTCGACCGACTTTGTTTAAAATTGCATTTTGTGTATTGTAAATATACCGCTTACATATGGTGTAGTGCATACAAAGCATGACAAAATAAATATTATAATGACAAACGTGCATCCAGGATGAGTAAAATGTCGAAGAACAAACTAAACTTGACCCTCCCACCAGGGTCTATTGATACTGCTCCTGCGGTTTCGCCGTCTAATATGACTCCTCAGTTGAAGTCTGCCACCGCCTCTGAGTAAGTTTAGTGTTTATATAAATTTTACTTACACAACAATATGTAATAAATATATATATTTTTGAAATTAAATGTAGGCTTTTATATAATGAATGACTGATTAAACTATAATCATACATTCTAATTTAATTAATTATACTTGTATATTAACTATTTCTCAGATATAAAAATACTTTATCCAAGTTGGTTCTTATCAGCACTTGTTTGTAACTCCTTTTTTGAAGTTTATTTTGTTTTTCGAGTCAACAGTAATTAAATAAATAATATTCTGGTTAAATATTGAATAAAAATTCCCATAATTTCTATTAGATACTTTTATTCTATTTCCTCAGATAAATTTTTCACTAATCACGCTATTCATTTTTACATTTTGATTATGTTAAAGATTGAAGAAGAAGAAGTTTTTAATTTTTATAATTGTATAAAAGCTACTGCTGCAATTGTCATACTTAGCAGTGGTTATTGATTTGTACACTACAACGCATATTCATTGTTTAGTTTGATATAATTAATAATTGTTAGGCGGCAAGGCTTAGCTGGAAAGTCCAAAACAAGTATAGAAGCACTGACTGAAAGATTGGAGCAAATCGAGATGGATGACACACAAAGACGTCGAATTGAAGTTTTCTTGTGTCAAAAGGAGAAGATTGGAGAGCTCAGTGATGATGATTTTGAAAAACTGGGTGAATTAGGTAACTAGTTTATTTCTCTTTATATGTACATCATGCAACTGTAATTATATATAATGAAATGTGTTTGAAATAAAATTAATTTCATCAGTACCTTTTCTTTATTTGTTATGAAGTAAAGTCAAAGAATCAATATGGCATTATTTATTTATGATAGCTTTGCCACAGATTGATACATGTTTAATCTTGAAATGTGTTATGCTTTACTAGAAAAAACTAGTCTTGTAAAGCAGGATATAACAGTTTGATGAATGAGAACTTAATTCATTATTTTCTTTAATATTACTTCTTTGCAACATAAGAATCATCTATGGGGAACACCAGTAGGATTTCATGGTTTGTCATTATATTATATATTATTGTTCTGCCCTTTCCAATGACCCTTCCTATAAAAATCCTTAAATTCACAATAAAAAATTGTGAGGGTCATTTATGGGGATAAAAACTATCCTATCTCTCAAGTTGGACCAAAATGCACACAGTGTGCAAAATTTCATTGAAATCAGTTCAGTAGTGTAGGGAGTCCATCGCGGACAAACAGTGTGACACATAATTTTTATATATAAAGATTATACAATCTATGTATTTCTTTGTAAATGGTTACTTAAAAAAAGTCCTACTGGGTTACTAGCTGGTTCTTCCGAGAGCAGAAATTATTAATTATTCTATTCTATTACATTTTCTGTTCATTAAGTTTATGTACATTAAGTTTAAGTGGTAGAGCCATACTGCAGCTATATTAGTAGTATAATTGTAGCACGAATGGGTCGGCTCGACCAGGGAAGAACCACATTCTCACAGAATACCAGCGTAAAATAGCAGCTTAACATTGTTGTGTTTTGTAAGGTGAGTGTAGAGAACCGGAGACCCCTTTTACTGGAAAAGGGGCATTCCATCTTAGTCCTCTTGGGTGACAACGCATCTGCATTATGATTCTTTATTGAGGATAGATGTGAATGTCTATGGGTCACAGTACACACTTACAATCAGGTGGACTATGTGCTCGTTTGTCACCCTATAAAAAATCATTAATATATATATCTATAATTTCATATGTAACTACATTTGATGACACAAACAACTGTAAGACATTAGGTTAATGCAGCTTATTGTCATGCAAATGTTATAGAAGTAGTTATAGAACTGTTCGGTATTATAATTGATTCCACCAAAAACATAAATGTGAAAAGGGGGCCAAACAAATGATGTTTACGGTTGTCAGCTTCGGCAAAAAAAATTGGTCTGAATGGTTCCCAACCTCTATAGCAGTTCCTTAAATAATCTTTTTAATCAAGAGAACAATGTTCTACATTCCAACTGTGAGTTTTCGGAGTGGTGTTCTACATTCGCCACATATTAACCATGCTTACAGCATGTTTTCGCACACATTGCATGTCCATACCTCAGAGGAGGACCACTCCTACCCAGATTTCTTGGGTAAAACTAGCCGTAAAACAAAGCATGTTATCCTACACAGCCTCTATCTCCACCTCTGAAATAATTGCCTGTGGAGGTGAAGATAGAATAGGAAGCAAGGCAACTATGACAAATATCCCCTATACCAAGTCAATCTATGGAGGTATTATGTGTCTGTCCAAAAACCATCTTGATGTTTTTTTTCTCATATAATTATTTTTCCTTTTTGACTAAATTGTAGGGTTTTTGTTTAATATTGTTGCAAACCTTAAACAAAGCCCTAGGCCCTAGTCACCTATTACACCAGCCAAAATCTTTTACGGCTTAAGAACCAAAATGCAGATGCATTGTCTTCCCTGATACTACTATGATGAAATGCCTCGTTATCAGTTAAAAGGGGGGGTCTTCGATTTATCTATATTCACCATATGAAACACAGCATTATTATGCCATTATTTTACACTGATATTCTGCAACTGTGTGGTCTTTCCACAGGCGAGGTAACCCATTCAGGATTCAGTCTTAATACAGCTGGAGTGTGGCTCTACCATGTAAAACAGAAGGTGAACTCAATGTCTTATGATATACTCACACAGGTACTCATTTTTATAAAAATGACGTGTGATGCAAACATACAGTCCACCTATGGTGACTACTGCAGCTCATGGACACATGCAACCAACTTAAAACAAAGAAGGTTAAAGATGTGTTGTCACCTCTGAGGACTATGTTGGAATCCGGCCGCGGCTCAAAAAAGCGATTGGCCTATTGCCACTTCAACTCATTGATTTATAATTTATGAATCATAACTTCTAATTCAAAATTTTTTTTTTATCCATAGGTCAAGGTAATGGAGGTGTGGTTATGAAGGTACGTCACAAATCAACTGGACTAATAATGGCGCGCAAATTGATTCATTTAGAAGTGAAACCAGCTATTAAAAAACAAATCATTCGGGAATTGAAAGTACTGCATGAGTGCAACTTTGCTCACATAGTAGGTTTTTATGGGGCATTCTATAGTGATGGGGAAATTTCAATATGTATGGAGTACATGGATGGTGGATCCCTTGATCTTATTTTGAAAAAGGCTGGAAGGATTCCTGAGTCAATTTTAGGTAAGTTTGATGTATAGATTTTTATATTTAGTTTTTTTACATCATAAATTCAAAAAAAAAATATTTCGGTTAAGGTTCAAATGAGCATTTATGTAACTAAACTCCATAGCAGTTGTTTCTATCAATTGCTCCTATTAATGGTCCCTATTTAGTTATAATAAAAGTACATTAATACCCAAAATCCCAATCCTGGATTGGATAAGAGCTCTAGGTTGATAATTAGTAAGGTATTGGTTTAATAGAATTGACCTGAAATCTTTCTTTTGAATCATACTTGCATACAATATAACGAAACTCAATTAATCTGTATAATAAATTGGTTTTATTGTGAGTGCTTTCAGATATCATAATATGACTATCATGTAAGCCTTTTCTGAAAATCAATACCTTTCAAAAATGTATTAAATGGGACAACTAAAAGGTCTTACACACGGTCCATCTTGCTGTGCAACTTACAAAATTAATAATAATTATTGACGCAAGTCAAGCCTAATCATTGTCGTTTATCATCGCGTATGATGCATGACTTTGGCGGGGCTTACATTAAGATGGACGCGCGGGCGGCTGTCGGGTAAGAATGCCATCGCACATATAAAGATACCGTCATCGACGAAGTTGTTGCCAGATCTAAAATAATTACTTAATTATAAGCAAATTGTAGTAAAAAACATTTATTTCTTTATTTATTCTTGATACCTCGTTTAGACTCTCGCCTCGCGGCTCGCCTCGCGGCTCGCCTCGCGACTCGCCTCGCAGCTCGCGTGTTGTTGCGAGGTAACGAGTGCCTGTTTACACTCTCGCGATGCGGTCAGTTAATCAGTTTGCGTTGAGCCAGCAACGATGATTGACGTCGAAATAATAGCGGCATCAACTCTTGCCTTAATAAGTATTTATCGATGTTTGACCATTTTAAAAAGAAGGAAATTAATAAAAATACGTCGTTGAGGAAGAATATGACGGATGATATCTATTCATCAAAACAGAACATTTTCAGTTTCATAATTTTAAATAAATTGCTAGTACCTATTGTGCAAGATTAAATAATATTATTTTATTAAAATTGTAATTTTAAAACAAAAGCAATTCGAATGTTATTATGGAAGGGCGCCGTAAACAAACTGAAACGAGACGCGAGTGTAAACACCACGCTCGCGTCCCTCGCGAGGCCCTTTGCCTCGTGCCCAAAAAACCGCCTCCGACGTGAGCGCCGCCAGTGGCGAGGCGAGCTGCGCGGCGAGCCACGAGCTAGCGTTTACACTCGCGCCTCGTGGCTCGCCTCGCGACTCACCTCGTCGCTCGCGCGAGAGTGTAAATGGGGTATTATATATAACTTTTCTATTTACTAATAAGTTTTTTTTAAATATCATTGCAGTACTTACCTTGGTCCCTTTTTTCGGATAGGACAAGGTGTTTTTTATACATATTTTGTAGTTTACATTCACATTTACTTTTTGAGAAAACAGATCTAAAAGGCGACTAGTGACATATTAGATAAATAACCCAAATAACTTAACTTAAAAAAAGTTTGGCGATGAGGAAGAATATAGTGGCAGAGATACATATTTATATGGATTTTGTAATTTTTTTTTAATAGGATGTGGGTGACAAACGAGCACACAGTCCACCTGATGGTAAGTGGTTGCTGTGACCCATAGACATCCACATCTATCCTCAATAAAGAATCATAATGCAGATGCGTTGTCACTCATGAGGACTAAGATGGAATGCCTCTTTTCCAGTAAAAAGTGTCTCCAGTTCTCTACACTCACCGTACAAAACACAGCAGTCAAATTTTTTAATTTTCTTTGATATTCTAGTTCATTTAGCCCCATAGCGTCACTTATACTTTTCCATGCATCCTTTTTTATCTTTATCTTTATAATTTTAATTACATCCCATAATATAAGCGATATAAATTAGTTAATGTATCAATTAACTAGTTCGTCCACGTGACAGACATGTTGCCAACTAATGTTTCCAACAAGCGTCTCCACAGAGGGAACAAATGTTTGCAACAAGCGTATTCCTTTGATGTTGCCGCTGAAAATGGAAACACGGTTCCCGACATTGTTTACAATTTTGTTGCCAACACTAGGTAATTACAGAAACATTTGTCACCAACACGTGTTGACAACACAAAAGTTGGTAACTTTTCTTCGGTGGAGACGCGGCATTATAATGGCAAAACGTCGTTTCTACTATAATTGTTGCGTGGATGGATGCTTAATGAGCAAACAAAAGGATTCAGATGTATCATTTTTAAGTTACCGAAGGATAATGAAAGTTGAATATATTTCTTTTTTTTGTTAGATAGGTCCTTATAGGGAAAAATAATTAAGCAATTATTTAACTACAGAAGTAAACCTAAGTACTTTATTACAAAACTTAGTCGAAATTTACTTCACTATCTAAGTACCTACTTACATACCTGTACTTGTCTTTTGTAATTAAACATTTTTAAGTTATAATATACACGAAATCCTGAAATAATTTTTTGTTTAGTAGATTTTTAACTAAGTAGAACACGATTATATTTCTGTTAGGAATCGTATTTCGGGTTTATTCGTTGTTTACACTATCTACCTATTTCTTCCGAGCCAAACATCCCGATACGAATGGCCTAGCTAGTTGCATGCGTTGGGCATCACAGAACTCAAATAGTACCGGAAATATGGTCGATCATAGTCAGAATAGGTACTTTATCTAAGTAACATACTTGCCATTTCGCAATGTGTTTTTTTACTCTTTATTAACAGCCCTTAGTAACCACGGAAAGTCCGTCGTGACGTAGGAAGGGGAAAAGATGTAAAGTAATACGGACACTCGCGTGCGGCGATAAATTTTTATTTAGCTTGCGTGCGCGATTTATCTGATTAATAATAATTATGTAGGCTATCAAAACGTCGGCAAGCAGTCAACATCAAAGGAGTGCAACTTCTGTACGTAATACTATTATTTGTTCTGTGCCATTACGCACGATAATTACAACAGGAGAAATTAAACCATTTTTTTTTCGTTCCTCTAAATTTGTCCATGAGTGTATATTATATTATAATTTATAATATAGTTTAATATAGTTGCAAAATAATTAAGACTCGAGTATCCTTAACAGCTGGGCGTGAATGAAAAATGTGATAAGAGAGTGAGGCGATGGAGGAGAAATCAAATAGACATATTTTTTTTGTTTAAAAAATGCCGCGCGCGCACCTTTTTGAACCTTGCACCCGTAGCCACGTGCCTAATTTGCCTTAAGGATAATCAGCCACTGGTTACAGGGTTTAGTAACTTAAGGTTTGTTAAAATGCCTGATTTACTACCGTTTATAAATCTAATATATAAAAAATAATTTTTGTTTGTTCGTATTTTATGCGCTGTCATATCGTTCATCAGATTGCACTAAAACTTTGTCAACTTATTGCAACAACTTCTGCGAAAGCTTAGTACAATTAACTTACAGAAGGTGGCGCGCGTATCGTACCCATAAATTTATTTGAAAGATATACATCACTCAACTTCGATGAATGTATTATCATTCCTAATAAACCAATATAACTCTTCCAAATTTAAAATGATATTTCGATAATTATTTTTTCTGTGTTATACGAGGATGGATTGAAAAGTACTCGGCCTAACCAAGAAAATAAACAAATACTAAATCAGTTATAATTTTATTTTTCTACGTAATCACCGTCAAGTTCAATACACTTTTGCCACCTCCCAAGCATTTAGACCGTTGAAAAAAAATGATTCTTCCTTAGAGTCAAAATATGCGTCTACAGCTGCTTTGACCTCGTCGTTTGTCGAAAATCTTTGACCTCCCAAGTGCTTTTTTAGGTTAGGGAACAGAAAGAAGTCTGATGGTGCCAGATCAGGTGAATACGGCGGATGCGGTAACATTTCAAAGCCACAGTTGTGAATTTCAGCCATTGACTGTACTGACGTGTGAACACGGGCGTTATCTTGATGAAACAGGACTTTTCTTCTGAGCATTCCTCGACGTTTTTCTTTTATTTCCTCTCGTAAACGACGTAGTAAGGTGCAGTAGTAATCAGAGTTTATATTCTGACCCCTTTCAAGATAATCAATCATAATCACACCTTTCGAGTCCCAGAATACTGAAGCCATCACCTTATTTGCCGACAAAATCGACTTAGCCTTTTTAGGGGGTGGTGAACCAGGTCTTCTCCATTGTTTTGATTGTTGTTTTGTTTCCGGTGTACAGTAATGAACCCATGTTTCGTCCATAGTAACAAAACGATTCAAAAAATCATCTGCATCGGCTTCAAATAACTCCAAACAGTCGCGTGAAATAGTCAATCGCGTCCTTTTTTGTTCAACTGAAAGCAGTCGCGGAACCCACCTCGCAGACACCTTGTGGAAACCCAACTCGTTGACAATGATGTTTTGAGTTCGTTCATAAGAGATGCCTATAATCTCGGCTATCTCTCTAATTTTTAATCTGCGGTCTCCCATTATTAAATCAAGTACTTTTTTAATATTTTCGTCAGTAGTTGACGTCGAAGGCCTTCCAGAGCGGGGTTCATCTTTCACACTCTCTCTACCACGCTTAAATTCTGCTATCCATTTTTTGACGGATGAATATGACAGAGCACAATCGCCTAATGTACTGACCATGTCATCATGGATGGCTTTTGATGATAGCCCCTTCTTATGGAGGTACTTAATGACGGCACGCTGCTCGATTTGCTCCATTCGCGAAAATTATGTCCGATTACTTTGTTAATAAATTTATAAAATCACAACTAATTATCGCACACGTTTCGAACTTCACACAATGAACTAGTCTGAACTGAACTAAATAATGTGGGTAGATTTGATTTTTAGAATTGAATGGATCTGTGTTAGGCCGAGTACTTTTCAATCCACCCTCGTAACAATCACTGTGATATGATTGAACAATATTTATGTAAATCTGTTCGCCTTTTTTTTTAAAGGTTATATATTAACTTGTATAATTTAAATTTACCTGTCTGACATTTATTGTTTGAAGTTAGTAACAGGTGTTCATGTTCATGGGCTGTAGTAGCTATTTACCATCAGGTAGCTACTTACCAGCTCTTTTGCCACTCTATTATTAAAGAAATAAGTTTTTGTTCTATACATGTCATTTTTGTATTACCAAGTGTAAATATTGAATCATTGATTTTGCGATTTCTTTGTCATTTATTCTTCTTCTTCCTACCTTACACCGTCACTATACGGTGTACAAAGACACATACTTTACACCCAAAAAATCTTTCAGTAGAATAAGGTTAGAAGGATGTGGTGGAAGCGAAGCGCAGCGCAGCCCCTGCCACAGCCTTCGTGGTTATTTTTTTTACCACTCGGAATTACTTGAGTACCCATAAATCCTTTCAGTTGACTTAAGTTGGAAGGCTGCGTTCGTGGTTATTTGTTTGAAATCCTTACAATTGTGATATTACACCTCTGTTCCCTATTCCCCTTCCCTCTTCTGCCGGAGAGAGATAAATCTCATTTTTTTATAGGAGAGGGGGCAAACGAGCATGCGGGTCACCTGATGGTAAGTGACTACCGCCGCCCATGAACAACCGCAACACCAGTGGAATTGCAGATGCGTTGCCGGCCTTTTAAAAAGGAGTAGACTCTTTTCTTAAAGGTCCCTTAGTCGTATCGGTCCGGAAAAATTGCTGGTGGTAAACTATTCAAGGAAGTTGTGCGAGGAAGAAAACATCTTCTAAATCGCACAGTGGTGGACCGCCATTCATCCAGATTGTGTGGATGGTATCGAGAGTTCTGCCGCGATGTGCGTTCGTGAAATTTGGCGGCTGGGATTAATCCGAACAATTCCTCAGAGCACTCCCCGTGGTAAATGCGAAAGAAAATGCAAAGAGATGCAACATCTCTTCGCAGCGCCAATGAGTCGAGCCGATCGGAAAGGACCCGGTCGTCGACGATTCGAGCCGCTCTGCGCTGGATGCGGTCAAGTGGAAGGAGCTGGCACTGGGGAGCCCCAGCCCAGAGATGGGAACATTATTCCATGTGAGGCCGAACCTGCGCCTTGTAAAGTTGCAGGCGTTGAGCCGGCATGAAATACTGTCCCGCTCTGCTGAGCACGCCAAGCTTTTTAGAGGCCAATTTGGCCTTCTCATCCAAGTGACCACGAAACTGCACGTCACTCGATATGTCGACGCCGAGGATTCCGATACTGGCTGAGGCAACAAGGGGAGTACCTTGAAACTGAGGTGATACGACAAAGGGGTTCTTTTTAGCGGTAAACGCGCAAACTTGTGTCTTCTGAGGATTAAACTGGACTAGATTTAGTCGCCCTCAATCCGAGACTTTGTCCAGCAAAGACTCGACTTCAGACACAAGTTTGTTCCGATACTCGGTGACGTTTTCCCGAGAAATATTGGCACGGCCGGTGTAGAGAGCATCACCAGTGCTGTCATCCGCATAGCAATGAATGCTACCGGCTTGCAACATATCATTGATATGCAGAAGAAACAGCGTTGGTGATAGCACGCAGCCTTGTGGAACACCAGCGTTAATAGGCTTGTAGTCGGAGCATGCACCGTCTACAACGACCTTGATGCTCCGATCTGCAAGAAAGCTGGTGATCCAATTGCATATTTTCTCGGAAAGCCCATAGGAAGGGAGCTTCGAAAGAAGCGCTTTGTGCCAAACCCGATCGAAGGCCTTCGCAATGTCCAAACTAACGGCCAATGCCTCCCCCTTGGACTCTACTGCCTCCGCAAATCTATGAGTCAGATAGACTAGAAGATCACCAGCTGATCGACCTCGACGAAAACCGTACTGGCGGTCACTAATCAGCTGGTGATCCTCAAGGTACCTCATGAGCTGGCAGTTTATAATGGATTCCATTATTTTGGAGAACAAGGAGGTGATGGCAATAGGCCTGTAGTTGGACGGGTCTGAGCGGTCGCCTTTTTTAGGGATCGGGTGGACAAAAGCTGTCTTCCATGATTTCGGTACTACGCCTAGAGAGTAGGAGTACCGGAAAAGACGCGTTAGAACCGGTGCCAACTCCTCAGCACAATTGGGGGGATTCCGTCAGGCCCACACGACTTGTGGATGTCTAAAAGGTCGGCTTTCTCTTTTGCGTCGTGGGCCAGTGAGTCGTCCTCCCTGTGCAGAAATGGTAGTAATGGCTTACAGAAATTCCCTTGGACAGCCTTGGCGAGAGACCAGAATGCACGGATTCCCGAAGGAAGGCGAACTAGTTTCTCGCCAATTCTGCCATGTGCTCTGACTTTGCCTTGGCAATAACTCTTTTGAAGGACCTGGAGGCGAAGTTATACTTCTTTTTAAGTATGCTGGTATGTACATCCCGACTCGCCGAAGTCGCAGCCCAGGCTTGATAACACTCCTGCTTACTGCGTAATGCAGTCTTACAGGAGCGACCAAACCAAGGCTGAGATCTGCCTCCGATTAGGGTACCACAGATGATGGAATAAATAGTTCCATTCCCTGTAGCACCACATCAGTTACAGAGCCAGCAACAGCGCTGCGATCATCCGGCGAGAAGCAAACCCGCCCCCATGGGTAGGAAGCAAAGAAAGGCCGCATTCCGTCCCAATTCGCCGACCTGTAATGCCAAACACGGCGGCAACCTGCAGAACGCAACTGCGAGGGGAGTGTGAGTAGCACCACACTCCGGATCAGACAATGGTCCGAACAGCCAAGAGGGGCGTCGACGAAAATCTGATATCCGTCCGGATGAGATGTCAGTAGAAGGTCCAACAGGGAAGGTGTATGATTCTCAACATCTGGAATCTGTGTAGGCGATGTAACCAGTTGTGTCAGACCATATGCGAAGGCAAAGTCATAAACAGATCTCCCCGCATGATCGGTTAAACGTGAACCGAGCCATTCGGCGTGGTGGGCGTTTAAATCGCCAAGGATCACGATCTCTGCGGATGGGACCTGTTGTAGCAAGGAATCTGTAGCCATTTGGACGTGGTCGATGAGTCGGTCTGTTTCGGCATTACCGCTTTGGGACCTATAGAGGCACCCGTAGACGCGCGGATGGTCGTCGCTGTCTACGCGTAGCCAAAGGATGGACAGGTCCGAACCTTCAAGACTGCCGAGGCGTCGAGAACAGATGTCCTCTCTGACGTATACGCAAACTCCAGCCCGAGGCACAAAGGAGTGCTCCAATTTGTACCCTGGGTAGGAGAGATACGAAGTACAGCCTGCAGCCTGAACACCCACGCTAAGGAGTGGAATAGCATGGTCGTGGATGCTCAGCGAGGGATTCTCCAGGGGTGGTGGTACCCTCCTGGGGTAGTCTATGATGTAATTCCGCTACCATGTTGATGGGGGGGGGGGGGAATTGGGCCTTCGGTCACCTGCACTCACCAGACGAAACGCGGAAGCAAAGCTTCCACTTCACGCCGGTATTCTATGAGGTCGTGGTACTAACCCGGCTCGAGCCGGCCCATACGTGCAACAGCAAAAACTGCCGCGTGGCTCTACCACCGTTAAAATTCGTCATCATTTTGAGGTTAGGTCTATGGGATTATCGTTTTAAAATTTCTCAAGAACGGTGTATTACCTTTTCATGGGAGTGGTGTCGGGGTGTAGGGGACACTTCCCTCTCCCTCCACTCTCCCTCCTTCCTCCTGCCAAACGATTCTAAATTATTACCGGTAAAAGATTTCTCAAAAAAATAACTATACTTTCCAATAATTTTATAAGTTACTTGCTACTTTTTAATCAATTGATAATCAATAATCCAAGTGAAGTCTCAAGTTAACTTTGGGTTCTATAAGCGTTGGAATCAGTAGTTATTGTAATTGTAAGTACTGAATAAATACCATTAGGCCATTTACAGGTACGATCACATCAGCGGTTTTGAAGGGCCTGAGCTATTTACGCGACAAGCACGCAATCATGCATCGTGATGTAAAGCCGTCCAACATCCTCGTGAACAGCAATGGAGAGATCAAGATCTGCGACTTTGGCGTCTCCGGTCAGCTTATCGATTCAATGGCAAACTCCTTCGTTGGTACTCGGAGCTACATGTCTGTAAGTAATCTAAAATATTTAAGCATAATATTATGCTATTAGAAAAAAATATATTTAAATTCGACGTTGACGCTTTCCTGGTCGATTTCGACAAAGAAGATAACTTTTTAATATTTTTTTTCTACCGAATTGTAATGTATACGCACAAATTACTAACAAACACGCACTTGCACGTCATAAGACCTTGTTCACGGTCACGTGGAACTTCCAGGCCCGGGTTCGGTCAAAGGGTTAGGTTGACGTGTCGCTGACTTAGTTGCTAGGTGTATGTTTTTTTATAATAGTTTTATTATGTGCCTGTGAACGACGATATTTTTGAATGAATTCTTACCTACCGTGAGCGTTGACTAAAATTAGAACTGGTAGATACGAAAGCAATAAAACGTTTGTTGAATGGAATGGATGGAAATAATATCCTTTAAGATTTTCGGACGTAGAAATTAGAATGTCCGTCAATTATTTTGATTGGTTTTCTTTAAAGCCATAGTAAAACGCTATTTTGACTCCAGCAATAAGTTCAAACACGTTTTTACGTGGTAACGCTCTTGAGTTGTGCTTCGCAAGCGTATACGGTCGCAAGTAGGGTAAGCGCTAGTCTTAAAAAAATCTCTTCGTTATATTAAAACCGTCTGGAATGAGAGATTGCAAGCTCACAAGCCAGGGCGCGCACATGCGAGCAATAAGATGGGATATATGTAGATTGAATGTGAAATTATTTTATTCTTTATAGTACATTATAGTCATCTTTTATTTTTTATTAACAGTTTATTTTCGAATACGAGTTCTGATGTGGTTCTAACGCAGCAGAAACAGCTTGCAATACCAATGCTACGTTTGGAGAGGTTACGACTAACGAGCGCACTGTGCGTTTTGTATTGAAAACTTCGACTTGATGGATGAATGAACTGATATTAATTAATTAAAAAAAATTATAATTATTATATATTATAAATATTTGTTTATTATAAAACATATAATATTTGTTTATATGTTTTATTATAAATATTCCGAAGATATCCCGGACGTCAGTCTGAGTGAGATTAGAATGGCTCTCCAGCAACTTAAAAACGGCAAGGCCCCATGCGAGGATGGAATTACAGCGGAGCTCCTGAAAGCGGGTGGAAGACCGGTACTTGAAGTCCTTCAGAAGCTCTTTAATTCCGTCCTCCATGGTGGCATTACACCGGAGGCGTGGAGCAGAAGTGCGGTGGTCTTGTTCTTCAAGAAAGGTGACAACGCTCTCTTGAAGAACTACAGACCGATTTTCCTTCTGAGCCGCGTCTACGTGCTGTTTTCGAGAGTCATTACGAATCGTCTCGCGCGCAGACTTGACGACTTCCAGCCTCCCGAACAAGCCGGTTTCCGAAAGGGCTTTAGCACCATAGACCACATACATACCCTTCGGCAAATCGTACAGAAGTCCGAAGAGTACAATTTGCCACTATGTCTGGCGTATGTGAACTATGAGAAAGCCTTTGATTCCGTAGAAATTTAGGCGGTACTGCAGTCCCTTAAGCGGTGCCAAGTTGACTGTCGGCATATCGAAGTGCTGAAGTGTTTGTACAGTAGAACTACGATGGCTATCCGAGTACAGAACCAGAGTACGAAACCTATCCAATTGCAGAGAGGTGTAAGACAGGGTGATGTTATATCCCCGAAACTCTTCACCGCTGCATTAGAAGACGTTTTCAAGCTTCTGGACTGGAAAGGATACGGTATTAACATCAATGGCGAGTACATCACTCACCTTCGATTTGCCGACGATATAGTCCTTATGGCAGAATCGCTGGAGGAGCTAAGCACCATGCTCAATGACCTCAATAGTGTCTCCCAACGAATAGGATGAACATGGACAAAACAAAGATCATGTTTAATGTCCATGTTACACCTATGCCGGTAGTGTTTGGGAACACTAAGCTCGAAGTTGTTGACGAGTATGTTTACCTGGGACAAATAGTCCGACTAGGTAAGTCCAACTTCTACCGAGAGGTAAATCGACGGATTCAACTCAGCTGGGCAGCGTTCGGGAAACTACGACACATCTTCTCGTCAGACATACCTCAAAACCTTAAAACGAAATTGTACAACCAGTGCGTGTTGCCAGTTATGACTTACGGATCTGAGACGTGGTCCTTCACTGCTGGCCGTATGAGGAAGCTCAAGGTCGCTCAGCGAGCTATGGAGAGGGCTATGCTCGGGGTTTCTCTGCGTGATAAACTTAGAAATGAGTATATCCGCAGTAGAACCAGAGTAACCGACATAGCCCAACGGATTAGTAAGCTGAAGTGGCAGTGGGACGGCCATGTAGCTCGAAGAACCGACAACCGATGGGGAATACAGGTTCTTGAGTGGCAGCCTCGTACCGGTAGGCGAAGTATAGGGCGATCCCCCACGAGATGGAGTGACGACCTGGTAAGACATGCAGGAAGGCGATGGATGCAGGTGGCTCAGGACCGTGCTTTGTGGCATTCCTCGGGGGAGGCCTATGTTCAGCAGTGGACTTATGAAAGGCTGTAATGATGATGATTATAAATATTAATTATTGATTTAATTAAAAAAAATATATTCGCGGGCTGTTAATAAAAAAAGTCAATATTTTTTCATAGGAGATTTTTGTGTATATAAGGTAAAATTAATTTATATAACTGATAATCGCACAATATAATAAATTAATAGGTATATCTCGAAATTGATAAAGCCACGGTGCGGTATGTTATGGTTGCAGCACGAATGGGTCGGCTCGACTGAGGAAGTACCATTCACGGAATACTAATGTATACAGTACGTAGTAACGAGGACAGGATACCTCTTTTAGTAGTTGAGAGACGTTCCATTTTAGTCCTCTTGGGCGACAATGCATTTGTATTTTCATTCTTAAGCGAGGTTTAACGTGGGTCTCTTCTACATATATGCTACAGCATTCACTTGTTATCAGGTGGTCTGTATGCTCTTTTTTTATCCTTGTACTAAAATAAATCTTTAATTTGATGTTACATAAAAATTATAAATAATTAAAATAAAAAATTCTCAAAACCCAAAACGAAAAGAGTTGATAATCTTTACATACATATAACACCCATATGTTCTTGTCGGATGTTAAAAATTGGGCTTTCTGTCATCAATCATTCGAGATATAATGTAAATGGCGTCAATGTGTAAACACTTTAATATTTAAAGCTTATAATTGTAAACACATACATGTTTTACTTTATAGGTTGTTATGTTGAAATTAGTCTTGTATCACCTTCAGGGTAATTTTATGCGTCGCTGTTAGTTAGACTAATTATTTTATCTATACATGCCGTGCATAAATTAAAGAAGATAATAAACATAATGTATAGTCGGGTTTTTTTTATAGGAATAATGTGTCGCATCAAAACACTTGCCAGTGATAACATACGGAACTGAGACGTGGTCCTTCACTGCTGGCCGGATGAGGAAGCTCAAGGTCGCTAAGCGAGCTATGGAGAGGGCTATGCTCGGAGTTTTACGTGGTAGAGCCATGCTGCAGCTATATTAATAGTATAGTTGTAGCACAAATGGGTCGGCTCGACCGGGGAAGGATCACGCTCTCACAGAATACCAGCGTAAAATAGCAGTTTAACGCTGCTGTGTTTCGTATGGTGAGTGTAGAGAACCGGAGACCCTTTTTACTGGAAAAGAGGCATTCCATCTTAGTCCTCAAGGGTGACAACGCATCTGCATTTTGATTTGCAAACGAGGATAGATGTAGATGTCTATGGGCCACAGCAACCACTTACCATCAGGTGGACTGTGTGCTCGTTTGTCACCCTATCCTATATAGCCCAACGGATTAGTAAGCTGAAGTGGCAATGGGCCGGCCATATAGCTCGAAGAACCGACAACCGATGAGGAAAAAAGGTTCTCGAGTGGCAGCCTCGTACCGGCATGCGAAGTGTTGGGCGTCCCCCCACTAGATGGAGTGACGACCTGGTAAGATATGCAGGAAGTCGATGGATGCAGGTGGCTCAGGACCGTGCTTTGTGGCATTCCTTGGGGGAGGCCTAAGGTACGTTGGGGTAAGATCGGTGATGGGGCAAGACCGTAGGATTCAAATTCCCGGCGAATTATGCTATATTTTGAAAAGCTAACAATATGCTACACGACGCCATTTCATCCTGCCCCGACCCTCAGTTCGTGCCAGTCACTCCGGCAAGTGGGACCTGTGCTGCGTGGCATTTTATAAAACAATGTAATTTTTGTATTATTTTTGTCCATCCGATCTTTCCCTATCACTTTTATTTACGATTTTTAGCGAGAATATGGCTTCTTTTGTTATTATTTTGTGTGGATACTAATTTTTATGAAGTTATAGCTAAATAAAGCTGGTCCATGCAGGGGTAAGATCGCTGTAGGCCGAGATCCGATGTTTCCCCTCGTGAGTGAAGATCGGATGAATATTATCCGATCTTTGCCTGTTACAAATATGGCAGTGGTTGTTAAACTTTCATAACTTTTTTCTCTAAGCAGTAGAAGTGGTTTTAAATTTAAGTCCGGTCTTACCCCTTAATGGCCAATTTTTCATTATGCATATAAAAAAGTATGTCTAGTTTTCGCACACCTTTAAAGCAGAAACCGTTGAGTTTACACAAGCAAAAGATTCTCAGAGCTAAACTACGTTTAACGATTAACGGTTTGCTCCATGTTCCATAAATCTGACGTATACGAATGTCGAGAAATTAAAGTTTTTGGCAGACTCTTCCAACTTTTCGAAAATCCGTCCGGTATTACCCCAACGTACCTTATATTCAGCAGTGGACTTGTGAAGGGTTGTAATGATGATGATGATGAACAAAACACTTATCTAGTTACTTCGTTTCATCATCATTGCACCCCTCACATGTCCACCGCTCAGAATATAAGTAGGCTCAAGTCTAGGCTGTCGAAATCACGTAACAGTAACCTCATTCTATTGACTTGCTGCACATCCCAATAGGTCGTCACTTCATGTAGTTCATAAGTTGCTACTTGCGAACCTTTTTTTGGTACATAATTCATCATTTGCGTGTCTTGTTAAGTGGAGTTGCGGAAAAGTCGTAAACTAAACTAAACTATGTTAAATGAATGGGTTTATGTAAAAGCGTTTGCACACGGTTTATAATTAACATATTATCTTAATTTATAATCAACTCTTAGTAAATATAACGCAAATCCTTTTGTCATATCTTTATTGGATGGATCCATCCATTCATTCTATTCATTACAGCCTATAAAAGTTCACTGCTGAACATAGACCTCCCACATAGATTACCTCATAGTTACCAAGCTCGGCAAGCGGGTTGGCTACTGCAGTTTTTTATTATTTTTAATAGTTATCAGGAAGATGCTGCTGCCCATCTCCTGTTTAATTTTTCCTCTGTCGCCTCTTACGACACCCCCGGGACGATACGGGCTGGTGGATATTCTTACACCGCCACTACACGGTGAATTGGGTTCGATGACAAACTTAAAATCGTAAACTAAATATAATATCACTTTGTTTAAACTTTAAAGTACTTACTAGATGGTAGAACTTCTTTCCTCAGGAGTCCCTCCGGGTAGGTAATACCCTCTTACCTATTTCTGTCGCCAAATAGCAGTGCTTGCATTACTGTGGTCCGGTCTGAAAGGTATATTAGAGAGACAGTACAATTATATTCTGTGAGTCATTCCATCTTAGTCCTCAGGGGTGGCAACGCATCTGTTGCCTTATTCGTATAAAGTTGGCAGGTGTCCATCGACTACTTTAGCCACTTACTATCAGGTAAGTTCGTTTGTCACTTCAGTTTTATCAGAAAAAAGTTTAAAAGCATTTGTTTTAAAAAAATATTAATAATATAAAATAAAAACCTTCGACACTAATGTAAGGATGTGTGTAACTAGAGAGGTAAAACGGTGTAGGTTTGGATAAACACTCGCGCACACTATTGTGAACTATCATATTCGCTTAATTGATATAGACTTTGCTCTCTTTCCATATATGCTGTCTCTCTTTCCAATTAAGCTTACCCAGGTACTTAAATTGGTTCTTAAATTTATTATATTTTAAACCGCGATCACATACCTACGTATTCGTAACAAATCGGTACCAGCCAGTGGAGTAGCGTGCCTTAGAGGGGCCCTATATCAAAATTTGTCGGGGGGCCCAAATGAAGGGTAAAGATTTTTCACAAAAGGAACAAAAACTCGCATTGAATTAAAATAATTATATATTGATTATAAGTTAACACTTACAATTAATACTCCTAGGAACTAAGATAGCCAAACAATTCAAACCAACATCCTGTCCCATAGAAGTCCTTAGAATTTTTACTTACATACGTTCGCGGCTCCTGTAGCCCGGAGGCCCCGTATCATTGATACGGCTGATACGGCGGTAGCTACGCCCCTGGTACTAGCTTTCTTAAACCATAACCGGAGCAATTGACGCACACTTTAGAATACATGTTTACAGTTGATTGGGACGAAAACATCATTTAGTAAAGGATCATTCATGTGAACGGGATTAAACCTTTACGTTGTACCCATCGCCAATCCATCTCCGATACTGTCGAATTTGTTTTCACTAAGTTCGGATAATGACAAGATACTATTGAACTAAACATTGGTTGTAGGGGTAATGCCCGTTTACATCCATACACGACGGTGCTTGAAGCTAGTTATTTTTAAGAGAGGACGCGTTATGTCAAGCCGCGTTGTCCGGTGAGATTTCAATAATCAAAAAAAAATATTAAAATTAAAAATATTTTAATAAAAAATAAGGGAGACAAACAAGCACACATTCCACTTGATGGTAATTGGATGGTGTGGACCATAGACATCTATATCTATGGATTATCCATTAAGAATTTAACGGCAGTTCAATTGTTACCCCTGAGGACAAAGTTGGAATGCCTAGTTACCAGTAAAACAGGTTTATGATCACCATACGGAACACAGCAGCATTATTCTGCTGTTTCACAATGGTATTCTCTGAAAACGCGGTCCTACCGCGGTCGAGTCATCCCATTCGTGCTTCAGCTATACTGGGTGTCCCAAAAATATCACGTCAGAGCGACATGGAAGATAGTTTAGCCTTAGATCTTGCAGATAAAAAAAAATTACCTTAGTAAAAAGTTTTTAGTTTTCGAGATATCGTCAATTATTTTATTTTCTCAAAAATCTCTACTTTATGTTAGTGTTTCTACTGTTGTCGTTAGAAATACCTTGAAAATCTTTGGTTTTTATATTTTTTTTATTTATCGAACAGTTTTTCCATGCATTGAAAGTAAATTTGCCCCAAAATCTCGTGTATTTTTTAAGAAAAAAAATTATTTGTGTTACTTTTTTACCTTTGAAAAAATTTCACTTCCAAATTTGATGACCTACCATGCAAAAAAAATGTACTGACGTAAACTGGCAAATAATTTGGAAAATTGCTCTATTTACTGCAGATTCAGAAAAGGTATAACACTTACATTAATTATTTTTAAAAAATGTAGGAATTAGCATTTTTTACATTAAGAGTAGCGCTCTCAGCGGGAAGCTGTACTTTGGTATTGAATAAACGAATTCTTTTTTCAAAAGCAATGAAAAGGAATGTTGTTTAGTCTTTGTGTTTAGCATCGCAGCAACCCGTTCTCGGGTCATAAACTGAGCGAGACAGCTGTGAGTAGGGGGAGTACAGTGCTATCTCAGTCTCGCACATGTAGCTTCGGTAGTTGGTTTTGTTTTTAGTACGTTATCATCAGTTTTTCGTGATACACGTGCGGGTTTGTGCTCCCCTCGTTGCTTTTAATATTTTTGTCTACTCGGCGTTTATTAATTGGACTTTGATTTGCTTACTACTTGGACTATTGTTGAACTGATTGATGTTGTTGTTAAAGTACTAATAATGGAAAATCCACGACAAGGCGCTGTTAGTCGCTTTACACATCGTGAGTACGCTGACATGTACCTGATTTACGGCGAAACCAGGCAAGTTTCTACTCGAGGCATAGTGTCATTAAACGCAAGGTTGGCTGCAAGATTGTATGCGGAACGGTATCCAGACCGTGTACATCCGACATATGAGGTGATTAAACGATTGGATTCTGCCTACAGGGAGGGTAGAATACCTGGAACTCGAGGTTCTCAATCTGGGAGACCGCGAACAATTGAGGACGACATCGTGCTACAGGAACGCGAAGAGGAGCCCTCGACTTCGGTTCGTATGATACAAAGCCGCACTGGAATACCGAAATCATCGGTTTATCGTATTTTAAAAAAAAGGTATCAGTTTCACCCATACCACATACAAAGAGTGCAAACTCTCCTTCAGGGTGATTATGTAAAACGAGTGCTGTTTTGCCGACGAATGCTGGAGCTAAATAGGCAAGATCCCGACTTTTTTCGGATTTTGACGGATACCTTAACCTGCACAATATTCATAGTTGGCAGTTAGAAAACCCGCATGAAACTAGAGAAGACCGTTCACAATACATGTTTAAAATCAATTTATGGACAGGAATCTTCAATGGTTCAATATTAGGACCAGTAGAACTACCTCCGACATTAAATGGTGAAAACTATTTGGCATTTCTTCAACACCAATTGTCAATGCTCCTAGAGGATGTGCCACTACAAACACGGGCAACGATGTGGTACCAAAACGACGGTTGCCCAGCACATTACGCTCGAGACGTTCGAGCCTATCTTGACGATAGGTTCCCAGGAAGGTGGATTGGGCGATTGGGGCCAATCTTATGGCCCCCGAGATCCCCTGACTTAAATCCTTTGGACTTTTTTTATTGGGGTTGTCTCAAGGATAAAGTGTACCTAAAACCAATACACAACGATAGGGAACTCCGTAACCGAATAAACGTAGAGGCTCAAGAGATATCCCAAATAAGTTTAAGATTAAAAAATAATTTTATCAAAAGATGTAGATTATGTATTCGAACTAGAGGCAAACAATTCGAGCATCTGCTTTAATAAACACGTTGATTCAAAAAGTTCCATTTTTTTTTGTCAATATCCCATATCTAATTCAATAAGTTTGGCTTTAGCGCTACCCTTAATGTAAAAATGCTAATTCCTACATTTTTTAAAAATAATTAATGTAAGTGTTATACCTTTTCTGAATCTGCAGTAAATAGAGCAATTTTCCAAATTATTTGCCAGTTTACGTCAGTACATTTTTTTTGCATGGTAGGTCATCAAAGTTGGAAGTGAAATTTTTTCAAAGGTAAAAAAGTAACACAAATAATTTTTTTTCTTAAAAAATACACGAGATTTTGGGGCAAATTTACTTTCAATGCATGGAAAAACTGTTCGAGAAATAAAAAAATATAAAAACCAAAGACTTTCAAGGTATTTCTAACGACAACAGTAGAAACACTAACATAAAGTAGAGATTTTTGAGAAAATAAAATAATTGACGATATCTCGAAAACTAAAAACTTTTTACAAAGGTAATTTTTTTTTATCTGCAAGATCTAAGGCTAAATTATCTTCCATGTCGCTCTGACGTAATATTTTTGGGACACCAGTATATTATAGCTTCATCACTTAATAACTCTGGAATAAGTCATGGCACTTTTTGGTGATAGTTGACTAGTTTGAATTGTAGCAAGTAATCATTCATAAGCTCCGATTAACAAAGAAAGATATTCAAATCACTGTGTATTTATCAAGTGATCTAGAAATCATACTCAACTTTAAGAGCTTGCACTCACGCATACATTTGAACCTAAGCCCATGTTATTGTTGTTCGCGGGCCTTTTTGTTATATTTTACTTTATAGCATGGGGACAGCAATGCCAAACATTTTATTTCGCAGAATTTATTCGTTTAACCAGTTTGTTACTTCTCACAGCCGGAACGTCTTCAAGGAACGCATTACTCGGTGCAGTCGGACATCTGGTCACTTGGTCTATCCTTAGTGGAAATGGCAATTGGAATGTACCCCATACCGCCGCCTGACGCCAAAACCTTGGCTGCTATTTTCGGAGGACAGAACGAAGATCACTCTCCGGGACAGGTTGGTTATTTTTCTTGTTTATTTTGAATTAGGCAAACGCATAAGACTCACAAGTTCAAGTGATTGTAATAATTAAAAGTAATATTTTATAGCACGAAGGGATTGTCTTTTTAGTCAGAATTTTGTAGTATCAATGATATTTACATACAAGATTTTTTCCCTGACCTTTCTATTTCTTTACATTTAATTAAGTGCCCATGTTTTCTGTCAAGTCAAAATAGGAAGTCAAAGTGAATGTGATGTACGCAAAAAAATAACGTATTCAGATTTATATATTATATTATATTAAAAATATTCGTCTGCAATTTGCTTTGTACACCCTAATTCCAAGAGTTGACGAGACATCTGCGTAAATAATACATCAAAAGAAAGGATAATAACTAGGCATGTCTTTAAAAAGGTTTGAACAACAAAGGCTATTTTTTTTATGATGGCACAATATTTTCTTAATTATTTTTTGGTTTCTTAAATATGCCTAGAATGTTTTTCTGACAATTGCAATGCTTGGAAATTATTTTGTTTGAATAATTACACATTACATAAATAAAAAAATAACATAACATGTTACTGGACACTATTACCAATTAATTGAAAAAAAAAAGGGTTTTATTGTTAAAAACCTTAGAAATTCAATTAAAAAAGGAAGCAGATTTCGTCTAAGACAAGTTTAGCTTAATATGTTCTAAATGGTTTAAGGTATCCATACCCTTCAGGCTTTGCACCAATCTTCCAAACATCCTGTATACACTATAATAGATGCTACAGTGAAAAATGCTTCCAAGATGCATGCATGGTTTCATTGTTAGAAACAGTATAAATTTTAGAATATATCTCTTCCTGTTCCATATAATTTTCTTGGATGGAACATGTTGGAATTCTGCAGCGTAGTATGAAGACTAAGGACAAGGGAGAGAAAACTAAAACGGTTTTCTTTGCATTTGACTTATAGCAACAAATAGTTAAAGTTCCTAAACTCTATTCAATTAAGCCACTTTATTTAGATCTATCTTTTTGTTGTTTAAATTACTACATAACAACACATATGGTCCTGAGCTTATATCAAACTTTAGTCTAAATATACCAAAAACTATCCAAGATACGAGGGTGGATTGAAAAGTACTCGGCCTAACCAAGAAAATAAACAAATACTAAATCAGTTATATTTTTATTTTTCTACATAATCACCATCAAGTTCAATACACTTTTGCCACCTCCCCTTCCAAGCATTTAGACCGTTGAAAAAAAATGATTCTTCCTTAGAGTCAAAATATGCGTCTACAGCTGCTTTGACCTCGTCGTTTGTCGAAAATCTTTGACCTCCCAAGTGCTTTTTTAGGTTAGGGAACGGAAAGAAGTCTGATGGTGCCAGATCAGGTGAATACGGCGGATGCGGTAACAGTTCAAAGCCACAGTTGTGAATTTCAGCCATTGACTGTACTGACGTGTGAACACGGGCGTTATCTTGATGAAACAGGACTTTTCTTCTGAGCATTCCTTGACGTTTTTCTTTTATTTCCTCTCGTAAACGACGTAGTAAGGTGCAGTAGTAATCAGAGTTTATATTCTGACCCCTTTCAAGATCATCAATCATAATCACACCTTTCGAGTCCCAGAATACTGAAGCCATCACCTTATTTGGCGACAAAATCGACTTAGCCTTTTTAGGGTGTGGTGAACCAGGTCTTCTCCACTGTTTTGATTGTTGTTTTGTTTCCGGTGTACAGTAATGAACCCATGTTTCGTCCATAGTAACAAAACGATTCAAAAAATCATCTGCATCGGCTTCAAATAACTCCAAACAGTCGCGTGAAATAGTCAATCGCGTCCTTTTTTGTTCAACTGAAAGCAGTCGCGGAACCCACCTTGTGGAAACCCAACTCGTTGACAATGATGTTTTGAGTTCGTTCATAAGAGATGCCTATAATCTCGGCTATCTCTCTCATTTTTAATCTGCGGTCTCCCATTATTAAATCAAGTACTTTTTTAATATTTTCGTCAGTAGTTGACGTCGAAGGCCTTCCAGAGCGGGGTTCATCTTTCACACTCTCTCTACCACGCTTAAATTCTGCTATCCATTTTTTGATGGATGAATATGACAGAGCACAATCGCTTAATGTACTGACCATGTCATCATGGATGGCTTTTGATGATAGCCCCTTCTTATGAAGGTACCTACTTAATGACGGCACGCTGCTCGATTTGCTCCATTCGCGGAAATTATGTCCGATTAATTTGTTAATAAATTTATAAAATCACAACTAATTATCGCACACGTTTCGAACTTCACACAATGAACTAGTCTGAACTGAACTAAATAATGTGGGTAGATTTGATTTTTAGAATTGAATGGATCTGTGTTAGGCCGAGTACTTTTCAATCCACCCTCGTATGTCGTAAACCCTTTACTCTCCCATTTATAAGACTGTGTTTGGAGCAAAATCACCAATACAACCTTTCAACATTACTAACCACTTTTTAATGAGTTTATGCGTAAATATAATTTCTTGGTTAATGTTTTGATGTAACAACTGTATAATATGTAAAAGATAAATGTTGTATACTCCGCAGGCGCCAAACTCACCTCGACCGATGGCGATATTCGAACTGTTGGATTATATCGTTAATGAGCCACCGCCGAAATTACCTTCCGGTATCTTCTCCGATGAGTTCAAAGACTTCGTGGATCGCTGTCTCAAAAAGAATCCGGATGAGAGAGCGGACTTGAAGACTCTAATGGTTAATATATTTTAGTATTATAACACAATCGATCTCATTGTACCTTTCATTTAATACTGGCAATACCCATAAAATGTTCCGAGTCGAGTTGTTAGATCTGAATACAAAATATCAGTAATTGGCATTAGCATACCGTAGTAAAAACACCCTGGACTCCGATCACCATGCTTGGCAAGTGTTGTGACTATGGAAACACCTTATAGGAGGGGTTCATGTTCAGCTGTGGACTTTTATAGGTTGAATGGAATAACAAATAAGCAATATAAGTATTGATTGTGCTGCGACGCACATATAGGGAAATGCTTTTCTCTGTATTATGCCTGGCAAGGTGTTCAGGTTGAGGAGTGGCCAACACCTTATATGATTGTTCGAAAGTACGGAACGAATAGATCTGCTTGACCAGGGAAGGACTACGCACGCACGGAATACCAGCGGGAAATGGCAGCATATTACTGCTCTGTTTCGAATGGCGTGTGATGAGAACCGAAATCTTTTTACTGGCATAGATTGTTGTATTTTGTTTTTACTTAAGAATATATTTAGATGTCTATGGGCCACAGCATCCAAATGCTAATATTGCACAGGTGGACTGTGAGCTCATTTGTCACCCTGCTACAAAAAAATAATCTTATACTTCGAGAACAAAAGATAGAGTCCAGTTTAGACGTTACTATAGGTCAACGAGGTACCTAAATCGATTTTATAGGTTTATCAAAAACTCGAGATATTCTTTAATATGTTAGTTGAAGGCTGACCGAATCGTACCTAGTTCTAATTTTCATTAAGTCGGCGATGTCCTCAATTCAACTGTCTGATTTCATTTATATGTTACATAATATCTACGACGACGACCAAAAAATATTAAATTATTTTCTACATAATAGCTTTTAAATTCGGAGCTGTAATTCTTATATGCACTATGTCTTTACACCGACAAGAACACAACCATTATAATATGTAGTTTAGTATTAATCTGAGTATAAATACGGATAGACTATATTGCGTTATTACTGACAATGTTAGCATAGCACAATGTTGAACATCATTCTGATACACAAAACTTTGAACTTATTTCAGAACCACGAATGGATCCGGAAGGCGGAAGCTGAGAAGGTGGACATAGCGGGCTGGGTGTGCAAAACGATGGACTTAATGCCCGCAACTCCTAATTCTAACGTGTCTCCTTTTTCTTCATAAGCTGCAAGAAGTGCATACTTTCATCAGCGAAAAAGGGTTTGTAAAAAAAATTTGGAATAAAAATGAAAAAAAAGACTAGGCGACACGCGCGTTCTGTACTTGCTCATTTTTACATAGATTAAGATTATTTACTATATGTTTGATAACGATTTCGATATTATGTCAAAACATAATTTTAAGTTGTATAATTATCATTATCTATGCTAAAAAAAAACCGTTAAGGCGACACATCGAAAACTGTTGTAGCGGGCTATTGCCGGACCAACCAGAGTGAAACATAATTTCTATAAAAACTTCAAAAACGCCGTCACAAGGTCTAAAATTGCGTAGCGCCCGCGACGATTAAAACCGCTTAGAAACCGCTTAGAATCTTAAAATATTTAAGAAAAATTATTGATTTTAGTAATCACAATAATGAGCATGTAATTTACGAATATTGATGTTATGAATGTATTTGAGTGGTTCCCAAGCATATAGATTAAGTAATTTCGTTGTAATTTCAACTATAGTGATTTTTAGAGGTGTTTTCGCAAACAATTATGATCGAGTCAAAATTTTACAATCGTGTTTTTGAGCAAGCAAATTCAAGATAAAGAGATGAATTTACCTATATCAAAATTCCAGTTTCGTTAGTCGTGTCATACTCCTATACTATGCGATGAAAGGAGGTGCATTTTTTCGCGGTGTCGCCTTAACAATAGCTCAGTCTGTCAATCACTGCGATTGTTCGCAACGACGACGTGCTTTAAATTCGGCGGTTACCTGTACTGACTATTGTGACAATTGTGACCAATGAAACCATTGTAGGGGAAAACGGTCAGTTTGTATTGACCCTAAAGCGGCAACTTGTACTGAACATTATGCATATATATTTACATAAAATTCTATTCCATTACCTGTTTCAGGTCAAAACATTTCCCAAGATAAAGCGGGCGAAACAATTAGCGAGGACGCTGGCGCAGAGGAGTAGCTGCTCTGAGCAAGCGATGTGACAGTTCACAGTATGTCAACTCTAGATACCATTGTCAACGCCTAGGCAAACTAAGCAACGAATTATATCAATCCGACATTAACGCCTTTAGAAACGTCATAGCCAACCGATAGAGTTCCCTAAGTCGTAACTCATTAAGGATCAAAATCGATCGATAAACACTAAACTCATTTGTCTTTTTACTGTTGTTATTATTTTATACCTTAAAATGCAAAGATATCGAAATAAAGAAAGTCGAAAAGGCCGCAGGTGTTTTTAAATGAATTAGAGAACAAGTTTTAAATCTCAGCGATCTTTGGGAGATATTTAACACATGAAATTGGTAGAGATGGTTAATTTTTATTATTATATTTTAATATACGGGGGTCTAAAATTAGGACGCCCTGGAAATGTATTAGACTTTCTGAATCGTATACTGGTTATACGATCAATAGAAAGCTCTCTTACATGTACATGTTTGCTGTAAACTATTCAGCGTTTAGATAGAGGTGTGATACTAAAACATAGTGCATTCTTTGACGAATCGCGATTTCTTGAACAAAATAATGGAACAACTAATCGATAAATGGTCAAGTAGAGTTGATTTCACTAGTCGCAAGTCGAAAATGTTTGTAGTGTTTTGACATATTTTTCTTTGCTGAAAGTGCGTAATTCATGTCAGCTGGTAATTGTTGTTTAAAATAGGTAAAAAAAGGTATACCGTGTTATCGGGGTGCCTTGAGCGGCGGAATACTCCAATGACGGCGCCATTGCGCCGGCGTAAGAGCGTTCCGCATCTCGCAGAACATTTGACACTCTGTAAAATAAAAATAATAAAAATTTAGAAACATGAAATAAAAAAAAAAACACGAAAAAAATCTTAAGCACGTTCTTTATTTACGTGATGCACTTTACCGTTTGGTTAGTTGTGTTTGTTTATTCGCTTTGTTTTAGTAAACCCGCCTTTTTACCTCTACATCGAAGCACCTAGTTAGTAGAATTTTTTATCACCCAATATTCGCTATTGCAACGCGCTGCTTGTTTGCATGTGTGCGTGTGTTTGTGTGTGCATTCGTCACTGTCTGTACGATTGATGTAAAAATTCTGCCTTGGTTTTTATTTTTAATCTCTATTTTGTTGACTTGCGCCAGACAGCTGTTATTTGCCACGTCTTCCGTTTAGAAACGTTTTAACTTTTCTATATTCAAATTATGTTTTTATAATACGTTTTATCATTTGTGAAGTGTTTTGGCTTCTAATGCTTTGAATGAATTTTAAATATTAACTTATTGGCTTATTAAGAGTAATGACTGTTGCGTTTAAAAACGCATATTATAGAAATAAATGTTGACTCCATATTGAATATTTAAATCGATGTTTGTAATAAATATTGTTGATATTCTGAGTATTAGTGCCAAGTGTTATGTATTCGGCACTTAAGACTACGCGTCGAGCATTTTATTGTATACCTACTTTTTATTGCGTAATTTAACTTGTAGCTTTAGTATTGTAAGCTGTATTGCTAGCATTTATTGATTTTAAGCTGTATTTTTATTGTATTTATTTTTGCAATATAATCTAAGTGACTGAAAATCTCTCTCTTATTAATACACATGAAGTCCATTTTTTAGTTTTGTGCGGCAAATATAATATATTTTTGTATGGGATTGTAAGTATATAAGGTCTTAACACCTTAATAAATAACAGCAGATATATTTCTTTGTAAAGTTTTTTTAATGTCTGTGACTTCATTAAAAAGAAAGTAAAAAGTAAATAAATGAAAAAGATATATAATAGGCAATGTACAAATCGTTTGCCAAAACTGTTTTCTGTAATTAAAAACACATAATCAAATATGCCGACCGATAAAGACGCATTCAAAAAACTTGCTCATAAAAGCTTACTGTATTTTTTTTTATAGGAGAGGGGGCAAACGAGCATGCGGCTCACCTGATGGTAAGTGACTACCGCCGCCCATGAACAACTGCAACACCAGGGAGGGAATTGCAGATACGTTGCGGCCTTTTAAAAAGGAGTACGCTTTTTTCTTGAAGGTCCCTAAGTCGTATCGGTCCGGAAAAATCGCTGATTTTCTACCCTAAATGTATTAAGGGTAGAAAATCAGCGATTTTTCCGGACCGGATTAAATGATATTATGTGATGTAATTAGATTTTTAAAGTACCTTACAACATTTGCAGTTTCGGATTATAGAATGATATGAAAAATAGTAGTTTGTGACAAAGTTTTAATTCCATTTCTGTTAATTTCTTAACTATGATAAGTACAGTACAGTTGTGCACAGACTAAATTGACAATAGCAAGTTGTATATTTTTCTTGTAACACAACATATATACCGATTTTGATGATACTTTTTTTTAAGCTGGTGCTTCTCACATGGTCCCATATAAATTTACAAGGTCTGACCAGTAGTTTTTGAGTAATCCTTAATAATTTATATTGAAGTCGGCTGTACAAAATTTTTTTAATTTTACCACTTGTTTGATATCTGCTGAACTGTGCTTAATAAATCAATATTCGGATCTGTTACAGTATTTTTATTAGTGAAAAATGTATTTGAATTTGAATATATTATGTAATCTAATATGGAGTTATAGTTATTTGTATTATAGTTGTTGAATTAAACAAAAAATCACTAACTGTTTTATGCAATCACATTTTATATAACGTAGTTCTGAGTGTTATTTGACGTAATAGCTTTCGGTAATTAATTAAGAGCCTTGTAATGGGATCTTTAGTAAAGTCGCGAACCACATACTGGCGATATTTCGTCACGTGAGAACTAGTTATCCGAATAATATAATCTTTCCTTTGCTTTCCATGTAGCTGACTCTGTATAACCTCATTGTAATAGTATTTAAAAAAAATCTTTGACGGTTCGGTTCGTACTGCGGCGTTAGCAGCCCTTTCTCGCACAAAACAATATTTGTATGGCCTACAAATAATGGTATGCGTGTAGAACGCCACGTTAAAAAAATGTCGGTCATTGAGTACCAAAGAAGTTTTCCTTTCAAAAAGCTAAAAATACCACTATATAGTTTTGGAACTGCTGAATAGTTATGTAATGTGTCTCGAAAGTCATGTTACAGCCCTTGTTAGCTGTACAAGTAATAGAATTACAATTGAAATATTTTGCTTCTTTACTTTTGTTGTGTGATATAATCTTATATAATTTCGGATTTATCACAAAACCTTTTTAATGGACATCCTCCCACCCATCCCATAATGATTATCCTTGTTAGCGATGAGCGATCTAGAGATTTGAAGCATTGAGCAATTAGAACTGGTTGAAATTTGCGCTTGTTTTCCATTTGAACAATATTTGATTTCGATAAAATTGTTAGTGTTCGACTTTTGTTACGTATGTCTTCATAATATAATATATCCCTTATTATGGTTGAACCTCCCAACGTTAATATGGCTGAGGCCCGACTATAGAACCCGACTGCAATGATTTAGGTAACACATTAACATATAATGATTTATATTTACGCGGACTACACATTCACCACACAGATTTTATCGCGTTTAATTAACTTATTTTATATTCCCGACGTTACGACGAAAGACGACAATCGTCGAGATAAAATAAGTCGAAAGGCGATAAAATGTATGAAAGCTAGTTTTATTCAATATACCTACACAAATATCAGGTTGTGTAATACTTAAACCGACTTTATGGCTGTAAAGTAGTAAAGCAAATATAATATTAATTTTGAAAGACATATTCGGTGATGTGCCACTCAATATGATATTCTATTTTTTTCGTCGCTACGATAATTATATATTTTATGGTCGTCATTTTTGTTTTACAAAAATGTTTAGCCTGTTACCATCGTACGGTTTAGGTTAATATGAAGCTTAGTGATTATTTTTTTTGAAGAAAGAAAAAATACATTTAGTAGTTAGGATGCTTCATGGGTATATAGAAACGCAAATACCATACACATACATACTCAGATACGTCCTGCTAATCCTGTCGCTGCTAGGGCGCAGTCGGATAAAAATTA